ATGACACATAAGCTTTCACTGAATCCCGAGTGAAGTGAAGGTTCATTGGAATTCCCGCCCCCGCCAAAATTCAAAAACACTTTATATGTTGATAAGTCGATAAAATATAAGACAATACACAAAGTTATAACACAACAAGTGTAGCGCCATTTACGCTTCCGTACTTTTCTGAGATGTTTTAGACGACTTATACGCTTTGATATATCCAAGTTGAATTCTGAAATGTCGCACATAAAATAATGTGTAAACATTATGCCGCTAAAATTAAATATCGCAGACATTAGTGCAATATAACCTAATTCTTAAATTCGTTATAACGAATTCAACAAATCTGTAATAACAGATTAAATTCGTCATAACGAATTCAACAAATCTGTAATAACAGATTAAATTCGTCATAACGAATTCAATAAATCTGTAATAACAAATTAAATTCGTTATAACGAATTCAATAAATCTGTTATAACAAATTAAATTCGTTATAACGAATTCAATAAATCTGTTATAACAAATTAAATTCTTTATAACGAATTCTAAGAATCTGTTATATCAAGTTAAATTCGTTATAACGAATTCTAAAAATCGTTATAACGAATTCAAAAATATTTTTTGATAGGTCCTAAATGGGCTTCCGTAAGAAGGAAAGCCCAGTTAGGAGCTGTAAAATATTTTTGAAATTTGATTGAAGGAATTGTCGAATTTGTTATAACAAATTTTATTCATTATAACAATTTCTTTGAATTTGTTATAACGATTTTAATGTGTAATAACAAATTTGTTGAATTCATTATCGTTATTAATTCTAAACTTGTTATAACGAATTAAATTCGTTAAAACGAATTCAGAAAATTTGTTTTAACAAATTATATTCGTTTAATCAAGTTCTAAAGTGTGTTACAACAAATAAAATTCTTTTAAACAAATTCTAAAGTTTGTTATAACAAATTAAATTCGTTTTAACAAATTCCAAAGTTTGTTATAACGAATTAAATTCGTTTAATCAAATTCAATTATCAGGGCCTATGGGTAAATATATATGAATTTGATATAACGATTTGTGGACTTCGTTTTAACGAAATTAATTAGCTATAGCAAATTATGTAATTCGTTTAAACAAATTCAATTCGTTATAATAAGTTTTAGAATATGTTAAAAGGAGTTTAATTCATATTAACAATTTTTTGAATTCGTTTTAACGAAATCAACATTTGTTATAACAGATTAAAATCATTACAACGAATTCAAATAAATTGTTATATCGAATTAAATTCGTTATAACAAATTCGACAATTCGTTATATCGGATTCAAAAATATTTTTCGATAGGTCCTAAATGGGATTCCGTAAGAAAGACTGTAAACAAATGCAAAAATATTTCCCTACAGATATTGTTTTATTTCCTTTAGAGCATATAAATAATACACATAATAAATGTGTTTTTCGTTACGAAAATTTTGAAGCATTAAATGTGCTTTCGTTTTCCACATACAGTGTATATCCATTCAAAAATATTAAAGAAATTAGATATATACCGAAGATCACACCGTATACAACGGGTAACGCGGGGGAGTCGCTAAAAAGTATGGGGGAGTCGTTTTCAACGTATGGGGGAGTCGATTTTCACCGCTTCGGAGTCAGATGTGATGTGGGTCACGTCTTTTTTCGGTATATGTCAGATGTATTTACAAAAAACAACTAGCCCACGGAAGGTAGCAATAGTTAAGCTTTCTGTTGGTCATTTGTCCGGCTAGCATATACGTCTAGTTTTCTCAAACACTTCGAAACTATTCGACAGATTTCATATTTACGTTGATCAAGTGGTTAAAACATGCATAGTTTGCACAATCTACGACTTGTTTAGGGATTATAACAGTTAAAACAGCAAAAGCAAACGTTAATCTTTCAAATGCAACAATTGAAATTTGGCTAGACTTTATAAAAATTAATAATTAAAACATTTTCTCTTCAGAAAGTAATGGTTACGTAGGGGGGAGTCGTTTCTGGAAAAACACAACGCATAGGGGAGTCGCAAAATAAAGTGAAATGCATGACCTAATCTGGTGTTGTTTTTACAGTTTAAGAATACATGTACAATTGGATTATATATCTTCGGAGCACAAGTGCATGGGGACAAGATTTTTCCCTAACTCAGTATGTAATTGTCTTACACATTACAAAAATTCAAAAAGATCACGAACCTTCACTTTCAACAATGACAACCTATCCACCATGCAGATTTATAATATGGAAAATTTCTTCATAATAATATTAACCATTTTTTTTTTATTAGAAAAGTGGAAATCTCTGGTGCGTCATTCCCACCCCTTGACTTCTTTTTTTCTTGAGGGGGGGGGGGGGTTAGAAATTTTTAAACTGGTATATGCTTTCAATTTGGTCGACATAAAAATAATTTATTTTTATTTTTCATTTATCATATAAAGACATCTTCAGGCCCAAACGATGTATCTTAAATGAGAATGTTTGGGATTATCTGGGGTTTACACTGTCAATACTACATGTATATATTCATAGACAGAGTTCGAGGGCAACATGCGTTTTTTTCAGACCGAAGAACCAAACTGTTTGCTGGAGGTTGTTAGTCCGAAGGCAAAAAGTTTTGTTTGAGGGGTCGACAAAAAGCATTTTTGTCCGAGAACAATCAATTAATGAATCGTTATATTGTTTATTATGATATATTATCATGATGAATTTTTTTTCACGAGCACTGCAGTTTAAACTTGGTCAATTCCATCAAGTTCTGACAGTGACCTCGCCCACACTGTGAAGTAAGCCGTGCCATAGCTCATCGACAGGTCCAACATCTTACTCATCTGTCAAGCAGCGATTTATTTGACTGCTCAGGAAAACAGTAGAAAGGCTTTTTTTAGTTATAGTTTTTCTTACAATAACAACTTTTCATAAGTATGAAAAAAAGAATTATAAACAACTTATCTGAAAAATTTTGACAAGCAAAAAAAAAGGTGGAAGAAGATTCATGTAACAACAGAGTTTCTCAACCAAACTTTATTAACACATTTGCAAATATAACTGTGATTTTACTATTCTGCATGAAAACGTTGGAAGACCTTTCATACGTGCCTGTTTCGTGCAATGTATTTCAGAATTGTTATTATGGGTAAGGGCAGGGTCTGAAGTTCTAATTTTAGTAAGAGCTATAAAAATTCACCAAGAAAACTAGAGGTACTGTGAGGAATGAGTTCACTAAATGATACCTCCGGCTCCCATGCCATAATGGCAAAGTCCATGTTTTGCTGTGGCCGGGAAACCCAAAATATGTGTCGGATCAAAAAGTAAAATAGGAGGTCACCAGGGGCTGATACAGGAATTGAAGTTAGGTGGGGGCGAATAAAGTAGGCGGGGGGGGGGGGGGGGTGGGCGGGGGACCCAGGGAGGCGAAGCCCCCGGAAGCTCCTGGATTCTAGGGATTTTGTAGGGTAAAAATGAGGTCTACCGAGTAGACAATTTTTACATTTACTAGACTTTACTATGATTTACGCTAACTTTGACAATTTTATTTTGACACGCCGGGTGTGCCCCCTTAAATCCGCCACAATGCACAATGGCAATATGTAGTAAAGTTTCTGTGAAAGTTTCATCAAATTTCACTCAGTGGTATAAGGGGAGTTGCGGATAAGAGATGGGTACCCCAAAGCTTAACAGACAGACGGACGGACGGACGTACAGACATTAACTGCCTAACGGTTTTTAATTTAAAATGCTGAAAATTTTGGAATATGCCACTTCATGCTCATCCGTACAGAAACCATGTCAAATGTACATGTAGTAATGTATATGAAGTACTGGTATATACTCATACACTTAACAATAAGAAACGATAATTACATGTTTTTATTTTTACATGTACATATTGTTTATATTGATCTTTATTCATATTGCATTTTACTAAAATTATAAAGTTATCAAAATAGTTATGTATGGAAGCATTTAGCAAAAGAAAACAAATTTAAAATAATAGTACAATTCAATTTTGCGACTCCCCTATGCGTTGTATTTTTTCCAGAAACGACTCCCCCCTACGTAACCATTACTTTCTGAGGAGAAAATGTTTTAATTATTAATTTTTATAAAGTCTAGCCAAATTTCAATTGTTGCATTTGAAAGATTAACGTTTGCTTTTGCTGTTTTAACTGTTATAATCCCTAAACAAGTCGTAGATTGTGCAAACTATGCATGTTTTAACCACTCGATCAGCGTAAATATGAAATCTGTCGAATAGTTTCGAAGTGTTTGAGAAAATTAGAGGTATATGCTAGCCGGACAAATGACCAACAGAAAGCTTAACTATTGCTACCTTCCGTGGGCTAGTTGTTTTTTGTAAATACATCTTACACATACCGAAATAAGACGTGACCCACATCACTTCTGACTCCGAAGCGGTGAAAATCGACTCCCCCATACGTTGAAAACGACTCCCCCATACTTTTTAGCGACTCCCCCGCGTTACCCGTTGTATACGGTGGAAGATGGTCTTTTCGTGTAGGAAGAATTACAAATATTTGTTTTTTACCCAATGTAAATTGCATTAAATGGTTCTGCTTAAATAACACTCGGGTACCGAAGAATGTTACATTTATTTGCTTTGCATTCATGTGCTTAAATAAAATGAATATATTTGTCGGAAAAAATTATTTTTTTATTGCAAAAATATTTAACAAATTCAATTCAATTATCAAAAATTAAAGTGAATTCAACATAACTAAACACGAAAAACATTAAGAAGCATATAATTGAGATGTTACTCTCGATAAGAACTGGACAGAGATCATATGCAAACGCTCAGATTTGCTCATATTATGTTCTTCATTTTAAAAGGATTGAAAACATGGATTGTTTATGACTGTGTAAATTTTCTTTTCATAGCAAACATAAAGTAATTTCTTTATCTGTGCGTTTTTATCAAAACTAAATGACAAGATGTTTCATAAGAAGAACGCAGATTGATTTTGAATTCTATTTTAGGTGTTTGTTGTTTTTCATATTACTGTGACAACGGATGGCTCCTGTATCGTAACAGATGCTATAGGAGGTACATGACTGATATTTCCTGGCAAGGTTCCCGCTCGGCTTGTCTGAATTCTGGAGCCATATTGGCCAGTGTAACCGATAGTGGAGTACAGAGTTTTCTGCAAAGTAACGGTATGTTTTTTGCTCCAGGGTACCGATTGAAATTTTGAACAAAAGAAAATTCCTTTTGATGGAACTTTAAGCATTTAGTAATATTCCAATAAATGCATATGGTGTTTTGACTCCCATCTAATTTGCTACCCAAAACATACGTAGATTAAATTTATTAACCAAGGCCGGCAACAGGCAAATAAGTTGATGATACAAGTAACAACTATACCGTTTCCATTTCGTTACCATATATATAATTTACAAGATAATCCTTTCTATTATGATATCATGTGTATTATTTCATACTGAAAAGAGTGACAAAAGTACAAATATCGAGCTTGAAAAAACAAATACAAATTTGCGAACGTGACATAAAGCATATATGTTCTAGAGGTGGGATCATATGCCTAAGAAGAGTAAGCAGCCCCTGTCGATCGTTAGCGCTCTATATTGATCAGATGCCTGTATTCTTTGAATTTGTTCCAGTGATCAGTGGTGATGATGCGTGGATTGGTGGGACTGATGGAGGAACCGAAGGAACATGGGTTTGGGTGGATACTGAAGATCCGTTTACATATTCCAACTGGTATCCGGGTTAAGTATTTACACTACCTCATAGTAGCGTGATAGATTGTAGTCTTTAAAGTATTAAATAAAAAATCGAGTGAATTTTTTTTACTTTTTCAATAATGTGAAACTATTAATGTAATTTTTTTGTTTAACACTAAAAGTGAATATGACTTATTAATGATTGATCTAAAGTCTTAAATTTTAAAATTAAAAATGTAAAAAAAAAAAATAGCATTGAAATAATAGTTATCCTTTAGGTGAACCAAATAACAAAAACAATGAGGATTGCCTGCAGTTCTATGGAACAAGTAGGAGATTTAGATGGAATGATCTCCCTTTTGGGCATAACTTGAGAGGATACATTTGTATGAAAGGAGGTAGACGTTTATATCAGATTTCTTATTGCGAATTTTTCCAAAATTTATTCATAATAAATGCAGTAATATATTCAACAAAATAAGAAAGTAATGTAACATGTTTTTTTTTATCTGTAAGCTTTATAAAGGTCAAAGTTGAAGTATATTTCAAGAAATGTCTGTTATGATAATGTATGCATTGATGATTTAATTTAAATATTTACAGCTACAAATTGATAAAATCATTCTCCTTGCACTTCTTTACCATATATATTCAATCTTTAATTTCATCAAGATTTACAAATCTCGATATTCTCGTATTATACTACTTGTAGTTATAACACAAATGTTTTTTTATGTTTTTTTAAGGGGAGAAACTCCACTGTTTATAAATTGATTTTTATCACATTTGATTTTTTTTTTTTGCTGCAGGATAAAAGAAAATTCAGGAAATGTTATTATAACTGGTTTGCAACTAATTTTTATTGTGATTATTTATAAAAGATATATTTAACAGCATATGAAAGTTTACATTTAGTAAAATATTGGGTAATAAAATAAATATCAAAATTCTTTTGAACTGAATGCATTCAAATTTAATAATCTAGTGGGTTCAGCAGGGGATGCTTACTCCCCCATGGCACTTAATCCCGACTCAGATGTTTCGGAGGTCCGTGTTTGCTCTGTTCCTATTTTGTATTGTTTTATGGACTTTTAGATTGGATACTGTTTGTTATCTCCATATCTTTCATGATACTAATGTTATTCTTCTCTTCTTTATATAGTTATGTACGATAAAGTTGTTTTAATCACATTCTGAGAGGATTATACAAGGAGACACATATAACTGACATAGTGATTTCAACAACCTCGTTCAAAGTCAGATTTAGTAAATTCTTGGGACGTTATTATGGCCTAACCTACCTGTGATTTTCAGAGGGTCATGTTGTATACTCTTTTCAAAGACTTATACATGTATAGTTTGCAGATTATGTTTAAGATTAATGACTGTTATTTCAAATCATTTTCATTCAGGCAAAGATTTTAAAAGACAAAAAGAAAAAAAAAAACATTTCTTGAATACTATCTTTAACACTTGAAACAAGGTCTAACACTGGCCAACTATATATTGAACTCGACCTTTTCGGGAAAAAATGACAATGGGGATTGAATTTCAACGTTTGACATCATCCTGGCCATGATTTATGGACTAATATAGTCCAGACACTATCGTACTACCCTTTTCAATGTGCACTCACCTTAACAAAATTATTTCATTTGTCTTATTACCTACATTGAGAATGTTTAACGTTTTTTATTTTCTTTGTTTTCAGAAAATCATCGAAAGAAAACAGAAAATGTCCAAAATAAATTAAATAAACCCACCAGTGTTGATTTTGTTTGTTTCTTCCTCATTGTTGATTATCATTAATTTTAATTATTTTATGTAATGAATGTCTGTTGTCTCTCATTCAGCCAGTATAAACCCTTCACTTCCTTCTAACTGTGCATGCAAAGAGTCACACTGTGTCATAGGCTCAATTGTGAAAAAGAAAAGTATGTATAATAAATAATCAAAGTACTCTGAAGAGAATAACACTTTCTGTTAAAGTATGTATTTATCCACTTACTCATGGCAGTGTGACTTAATAAGCAATTATAATCACTCCTTTTTGTAGAATGTTTGAAGACGGATGTTCTTTTTTTGATTGATGATTCCAGCAGCGTGTTCGACGCTGGTTTCACGTACTCCAAGAAAGTTGCTGCAAAGCTCATGGACTGCATGACGATTGGTCCTGATGAAATAAGAATCGCACTTATGACTTTCGGTTCAAGTACTTCAACCCATTTTGGCTTTGACAGATACAATGATAAACAATCTATTAAATCAGCTATTACAGGAGCAAGATATAGAGGTCAAACAAGAACTAATATTGGAAGTGCATTGAGCTACGCTCAAAATTTAATGAATTCAAATCCATCTGATAGGTTAGACATAATTATAGTAATTACAGACGGGAAGTCCCATGATTCTGTATACTCGCAATCTTCTTCACTTCACCTAAAAGGTGTTTATGTTTTTGCGATGGGAAGTGGAGGAGATGTCAATTCAGCAAATTTAGAGACAATAGCAAGTAACCCTAACTCTGACTACCACGTGACATCCAACGACTACTACGATCTCCACAAGAAAGTCTCAAAATTAATCAATGGCTTATGTATCGGTAAGTAACACTTCCAACGATAAAAGCCATTTTCATTTTTACTCGGTTTGAAACGATTTAAATTACATTTGAGTATTTGATATTTTCAAGTCTACAATATGACCAAAATAACGCTAAGTGTGTGTATAATGTACTTTAGGTCATATAACTCCTGATTTCATGACTTGTGAAATGGAAGTTAAAGATAGTTATGGAGAAAAGGCACAATCCCCAACTAACGGGTCTTCTGACTGTGCAAACCAACTGGATTTTTACGGGAAATATCAACCCGAATTTATACATACACATGTCATGATAGATGGAAAACACAGAGGGTTTCGGTCATCAATTTCACCCACAGAATTCCATTTCGGGGTGTTACACGCCGATATTGCCTTAGTTAAACGATCTAAATCAGGTTCAAATGTTTTCCTATTGCCGTTTGAAAGTTTAAAAAATATTTTAGTGTATTAATAATCAAGTTTTTTTTTCTGATTATATATCACAATGTTAAATTGTACATGTAGATGCAGATCAAACAATCGGCAGAAGTTCAATTAAAGAGTCCACTGATTACCAGCCTTTAGTCTCAAAAGACATCAACATGACCAATTCAGTTATTTTCCATGACAGCGAAAGGTAATATACTATTATATAAATCATCTTTTTTGAACAGAAACATTATTTATCATAGTTTAAAATATTGATTAGAAAAATGCTTAAGAATTATTTCAACTCAGCTTACCAACGTAAGCGTATAATTGTAATTATAATTTATAGGGTTTTAGAGTATAAATGATGTCTGGAATGTAAAACGCCTAGACTCATTTGAAATTCCCCTCGAACATGTATGGGCATAATAGTGAAAAAAAACTTCTAAAATTCTCTTATATCTTTAAATCCAAGTACGCTAATTTAATTTTAGCAAACAGTAATGTATAACATGGGGCTGGGTTGGGGTGGGGTGGGATGGAGTGAAGAGGAAAGGGACAAAGAAGTTCCACACATAGTGGAAAGAGATCTAAAGAAATCTCGTCACTAGCAAGGAACATTTTATAACATGTAATATACAATAATATTTGATCACATCTTGATGCTCATCATAAAAAGGTAAATTTGCTACTGTCACAGTTATGTTACATTGGTTTGAAAACAAATACTATGAGAACAAAAACATCCTATCCGATGAATTACCCAGACACCCTGAAATTGATAAGTAAGCATTCTAACATTCTAAAATAAATACTAGATTCTTTAAACCTTCAATGATTTTTTATTTTTATTTCATGCGTCAATATAAGTTTCTAGTTGAAAATTGTTGAAACATGTTTGTGCCATACTAAAGCGGATCATTTTTAAATTAAATATTCACATGGGAAATGACATGTGACAAATTGGGGTCTCTACTTATGAGTCCTTGTTCTAATTTTTCAGGTTTTGCTTGATATTCAGAGCAAGTGTTGGAGGGTATATAACGCTTCATACAGGGAAGTACACATATGGTACCACAGACGCTGAGAGAACATTGTGTTACTTCTATGACGATATACCCCCACGTCATTGTGCGGACATTGGTTCATGCAGCTGTCCTCCGTTGCAATTATCTGACGAAATCACCAATATGACGTCACTTAATGTTTCATTCGCAGGCTGGGAGGATTTTGACTCCGTCTCAGCAATTTCAAAATTTGCTTCTGGAATAGGTCATTTTGAGATTTCCCTGCATGAAATGGAGTACAGTAACAAAGTTCTGAAAATGAAGCATGCCTCAAAGATTGCCAGAACTCGGTGTAACAACTGTTCCAATTTTCTAATAGATCTTCCCCACACTCAAAATCCTATGCTTTACGGCGTTGTTGTCGAGGTCGTCGACGTAGCGCTCAATCCAAAACAAGCCCGCAGGTTTTTTCTGTATGATGCGTCGTCCAGACTTGAAATCCACGAGCAAAATAAACTTCGGGTGACGTCAGCTTCGGAGAAGACAAATTTTATTTGGCAAATTGATCATAGTAAACTCTGTTACAATTGGACAAACAGGTTTTATAACAATAAGTTTATACATTACAATCCCTTGAGTCCTATTGATCCAGGAGTTCATGGTCATTTTACAGGCATATACGAACAAACAAATGGGTTATTCAATGTTTCAGGAACAACTAATATTAACGGAATTACTAAATTTCATTTCGACATCAAGAAGGATTTGACCCCTGTGATGAATAACCATATTGTGCCAAACTTTCCCCAGCAGAGCATGTGCGTCGACATTCCAGGAATGAGTGATGGAAACACAATATCATTCAAAATCACTGCATTTGACATAACGGGACATCAGCTAGAAGACGGCGTCGTTCATTTCATTGACGCATCACCTCCGGAAATAAATGACGCATGGCTGATACGAGATGGAATGGAAGAGATTTTCGTTCACAGTTTAAAAGATCTTTCAAAAATGGTATTGAAGTTTGAGGCGTTTGATGAACACAGTGGTTTAAAAAGTGTCCAATGGTCTATTAAGAATAAAGATGACCAAATTGAATTTGGACATGGTGCTCTTGGCGTGTACTCAGTTTCGGTAAGAACTATCAAGAAAAGAGCGTAAGTAATTGAAAAAGTTTTAAAAGTTTGGTTAATGCCGATGTTTAAAAAGATACTGGTTTGATAACGTTTAAATGTCTCTAATTATGTAGTATATTTTAAATGCACGTCTTTCATTTCAGAGCTGCACTTCTGTTATTGATTGCTATTGTCCTTCGGTGGGAGAATGTCAACGTTTGAATTATACGCTCATTATGAACTCCTTAGTGGCTAACAATTCTCACATAGGGAAACATCACAGAGAGTATTCCATTGAAATAACAGTTACAAATAATGCTGCTTTACAGAGTAAAGAAACAGTAATTATACTCGTTGATGAGTCAGCTCCAGAAACGGGAGTAGTGAAGGAGGGAGCTGCTGGATCTCCCGATATTGATTACACCTCTAGTCCACCCATCAAAATCAATTGGGAGGGATTCATAGATCACGAAAGTGGTATTAAGTTTTACCGAATAGGTCTTTCAAGCTCTTGTCTTAGATTAGAAGACTTATGGCATCCCACGGGATCGAGTATAGAATATTATGACACTGAAGATATGAGTAAGCAAGTGATTTTAGATAAATCGGGTAAAACCTTCGCCTCAGTTATTGCTTTCAACAATGCAATGGAGCCATCTAAAGTGGTATGCAGTGATGGGGTACAGTTAGACAGAACTCCACCCGTTATTTCGAACATTTCAGTTCGTAATATGATGGCTTCCTCCTCTCTAGGCTGCACGAACGGAAAGTATTGGTTTATTACTGAAAACCTAACGAGGGTTGCAATAATGTGTAATAAAACATGTTTGAATGGAACCAACGAAATCTTATTAAATGCTTTGCCAGTTTCCTCCACTAACAGCGTCCCAGATGATGCTTGCCTGCAAAATGATTTCATGGGGGAATATCTATATCTTGGAAGTGATTTCTTTGATATTTCCTGGAATATTACCGACAAAGAAAGCAACATTGAAGACGTTTTTGTTGGAATTGGATCCTCGCTTTCTTCAGTGGCTGCTCCTGACGTCAGTGGCTACACAAAGACTCACCACAATACTTTCTACCGCCTCAGGCATTCTGGGATATCGGCCAATTCTGTTATTTATATTTTTATCAAAGCAGTGAATAAAGCAGGTATGGAGTCTGTCATTCCTGTGGGACCAATCATTGTGGATGAAACACCTCCGATGTGTTTAAATAAACCAACAACAGAAGTAACAAAAACAGATATAACTGTAACATGGTCTTCTGATGATTTCATAGACATCGAGCAAAGAGGGGCACTTCGAAAGATTTACTACAGAATTGGTATGCAACCGCTCTGCATTTGGCCTTTGTTGAAAAGATGATTTTTCGTAACGATATTATTTTTTGTTCTTTACATAAATCTTCAAGTTATGATTTATCTTACAATAGGAAAAAATAGCGAAATTTATATGCGAGTAAATAATAATAATATTTTATATATTTTTAGTTTCTGGAGGCGCTACGAGGGTGACCAATTTTAGAAAATGGACAAAGACTGATTATTGTTCAAAAAATCGAAATTGCTTTACCTTTCCAGTATCTGAACTGCAACACTATGATGGCGGAAGCAGCCGTCAATATCAGTTTGAATTCCATGTATATAATACTGCTGGTCATTATTGTACAATTTTCTCTGAGGAGTTTAGCATTCCATCAAAATTTTATCCCATTCGTGGAAAAGTTTTTGACATAGACCCATCAACAAATATGAATGATGAACTGGCCGATGTAGATGTTTCTCTGACATTAGATAGGTACTGCTTGTATTGGGAGAATATAGATCATGAAGAATCACTCATATATGAAGTAGGAATTGGAAATAGTAAAGAAGTTGCTGATGTGGTTGCAATGCATGAAATTAATGGATCATCAACTACTGAACAATCCATCTTCTGTGAATCCACCACAAAATTAGCAAGGCATACCAAGTATTTCGTCATTTTGAGGGTATCAAGTTCACGAGGGACTATTTCAATGTCGACTGACGGCTTCATTATTATTGATGTGAATGAGTTTCAAAACTTTCTGAAAGTAAATGATGGACCGGGATGTTTATTTTCAAAGCTTCTGTTTGAACAGAATGTGAATATAGTTCCTCCAAACAGTACTGTTTCTTCTGTCAACGTGTCATTTCCACTAACAATAGGAACAACCTATACAACTTTCATTAACACATCATCTATTAATGTTACTATTAACAGCGGTGGTGTTTTGTTCCTGAACAGGCGTATAAAGTCATTTTCTTTCATTGCATTGGAACATCATCCAGTCTTTGAAATTATTCCAAATGAAATAGGGGATTCTAAACCTTTTACTTTTCGGACTTTCCGTTGTGAAGAAGATGTAGATGTGCAAGATATTTCAGCTGAAATAGGAGCTAACTGGGAGGTTGATGCTAGAGTTGAACGATTCATTAGTCATTACCTGGTGTCACTTTTATCGTGTGAGAACATTCCCAATTCCTCCTGTGAAGCCATCATTTCAAACTCCGTCGTAAAAAGGGCGTCATATACGTTTACTGACATTTATGATTCTCTTCAACAAGGATTTTACAAAGTTTTTATAAAACCATGTTTTGGAAATAAATGTTTCTCCGGATTGTCGTCGGACGGATTTTTCCTAGAATCCTTTGGTCCGGACTTTGGAAGTTTGTCTGCTGAACTTACGGTGGATAATGGACATTGCCTTAAACTTCAGTTGAATTTTCAGTCCTTTCAATGCGCTTTTCCATTTGAAACTACCCCAATGTTTTATAGATGGGCAGTATTTAGCGATGTTATGGGGCATATGCAATTGACTGAACATCAAATACAGCTCAACAACACCAGACAACAAACAGTAACTTTCTTTTTTAGACATAATTAATAATTTTATTTTATTGATACTGAGCTCTTTTCCAATTATATATAAATTAAATATTGTTGTATTTTAGGTAACGTCTTGTTTAAAGTTTCCTCATAAGAGAATGCATACCTGTTTAGAAGGATACTGTCGATCAGGCCGGATGTCAAAAACCTGCTCACAGATCAATGTACAACAAGATCCAAACAGCTATACCAAAACAACAGTCTATGATCTTGATGCAAAGTCAGATTTCTTTGTTGAAATCGAAGCTTATAAATATACAACAAACATTGGACGAAAATTAGAGGATTTGCATTCTTATGAAATTGATTTTAAATCGGACTTTTTTGTTTTAGGGGGGTTTGTGATCGGTATAGGAGATGCAGAAATTCTTTGGAGTGTAATGAAATCTCCCCGTATACCACTGCGGTGCGAAGACGATCCCGAGTGTATATATTCTAAATCAGGAAGAGGGGGACTGATAGCTTTCTCCTCAAAAGTGCCACTGAAAAGCAATGTTATATATTATATTTGTGTTAATGATTCAGCTAACTTTATCGTAAATCGATGTAGCAATGGATTTGTAATTGATTTAGCACCACCTCCAATGGGAAAAGTTAAACTTCATACCAAGAAAGAAGGTTTTATAACTGATGACAGTAGTGTTAACGTATATTGGCAGGGATTTGAAAACGATGACTTTTACAGTAAAATTGGATATCCATCAAATATTAGGTTCTATGAAGTCGCAATAGGTAATTATGAGGATAAGTTTCTGAACCATATAGTAAATAATACATGTACTGTTATTTTAAAAACAGATTTTTACACATGTACAGTGAAACCTGCATAATCCGACTTGCACTGGGAGACAAATTTTGTGTCGGAATAGACAGGGTGTCGGATTGCACAGTATAAAAAATTAAAAAATAGTAAAATGGCACTGAAATTTAACGTCGGAAATCACAGTGTGTCGGATTATTCAGGTGTCGGATTAGACAGTTTTCACTGTATATGTTTTTTTTATATTGGTAGGAACTGAAAGGGAGAAAGAAGACGTACTGCAATTTAAAAATGTACAGTTAACTTCTTCAATTCTTCTTACAAACCTTTCCTTGGTAGGAGGGATGTCTTATTACTTTTCAGTTAAAGGTAAAGTAACTTCCGTCTTATAATTTTGTCCGTGTTATTTTATACTAAGGGTTATGAAAAATTAATGAACTGTTGTCATGTAAATATTACTTTGTATGAATATTTCCAAAGTCGATGCGAGTTTTTTTTAAGTAAAAATTTGTAATATTTGCTAGACCCCCCCCCCCATCCCCCGATGTCATTTATCCACCTTGTCTGTAACTATCGCTATTAATTTTACATATAAATTTCACAGATCTGACGAAATGAAAATATTTAATACAGCAATTCTTTGGTCACAATCAGAAGAATTATTGTGAAAGAATAATGACAAATACTGATGTCATTCGTTTTCTCATTTTGTCTCTGACAGAACCACTGAAGAAAAGCATTATATTTTGAAGACATACCTAATAGTCATGCCATTACTCACCAAAACATAATCATTTATCAGAATATAATGACAAAATATGTGTATATTGTTTATTATTTGAGGATGTTCCTCGATAAATCTGTAGAATTTCATTGATGTGTTTGCTCCTGATTTATATTGTTTACAGTGAGGCTTGAGCATGTTTACTCTTTGTTATCGTCATATTTCATGTATCTTACTTTTATAGGGCTGATCCACAAATATTTTTATAACCTTTTTGTGTCTAAGAGAACAACTCCTTTGAATCTTTATAGCTTGTGATCATGCCCTTAATTGTATTATTGGATCTTCTGAACCGTACATTTACGACAAAACGTCACCTGAAAGGGGGACAATTACTGTCGGACACTACCTGAATCATCGTGTGTACGTGGATTCCAGTCTTCTCATTGTCCACTGCACAGGCTTTAAAGACCCTGAGAGTGGTGTCATGAAATTTGAAATTGGGATCGGTAGCCAAAATAATTCGAGTGATGTTATATCAAATTCAGAATTCTTTCAACCTCATACAGAAATTTTGACGAAAGGATTACTGCATGATGGACATATGTATTACGTTTTCGCCCAGGTAATCGAACGTACATAAAAATATTAACGTTTTCGTTGGATAAAATAAAAAAAACAACACACTGTATAGCTGTTTTTTTATACCTCTGATATTTTAAAAGGTGAATTTTGATTTTTCTTTTAAATGTAGGTGTGGAACCATGCCGGTCTGTTCACGTCAGTATCGTCTTTACCGATCGTTGCCGATAGTACCCCTCCAGAGCCTGGTGCTGTTAGAGATGGGCCGTGGTTAAACCATGTAATCTTCACTTACTTGACTTTCACGCATTTATTATTTAATTGATTCAGTTGTCTCATGGATAACTTTAAGATATATATTGGGTATGAGTGTACAGTCATCAAATTCAGTCTAAGGTGATTTTATCATAGACAGAACACCTATTATATTAAAGAATCAAATTTATTGAAGTTCTTAAGTGGGCATTCTAGTCCGGATTTGTTCAAAGTCAGACTATTTTATAGTTATTTATTTCTATTGATTAATAAGTAACTAAGTAATGGAAATTGGAAATACCATAGACCTAAGCGATTTAGGTCTATGGAAATACGTATTTTCAAAACCCAGTTTTTAAAAAATATAAAATTCTGCCTTGCCAATTGTGGTCGAATTAACCGATGTCTTTATTTCAACACAGCGATCTGAAGTTGCTCTTTTGAACTCAAATTAATTTTTTGAAGTCGATCTTACTCTTTTTGTATGCTGATTTTAGAAGGGTGTTTACCAATGCTTCTTGTAGCCAGAAAGGCTACACAAGCAATGGTATCAAACATCTCTCAATAATATTAAGCATCTAACATTTCAGCTAGCGTTCATTTAGTCCTTGGAATCCATCATACACACTTTTGTGTACCTCTATTTTATGGTCGTGTCGATGAAAGTTGTGTATACTAACAGAAGACATTTTGCTTTTCTGAACATTTTACCTGTCCGACTGGACACTTAAAGAGAGAGATAAAAAAGCATGAATCTTTCTTTAGTGTAGTGTATGTGTGTGGCTTGTGCAGGCTGAGAAGATGACTGTGCATATTAAAATTTGATTTTCCAAACGGATTGAATGGATTATTATTTATATTCGCGGTCTTTAACAGATTTCTATCTTGTCTAGAGTTAATATGACACAAAAGAAAAAGGATTCACAATTTTTGTTCTAAAAATCACATATCTTCTGAAACACAGGTTGATGAAGATTATACCACATTCTCTACAATAAGTTCCCACTGGACAGAGTTTGTAGATGGACACTCTCCGATAGATTTCTATAGGGTGGGACTTGGTACAAGACACGGATTGACTGATGTTGTCAGCTTTACATTCATCGGCAGACAAACAGGTAATTCGACAACTTCACATTAAAATGTGTTCATTGTTTTCGTTTTAAAAAGTAGCGTTATATTCTCCCTCACTTCATTCGTCCGAATATAAATTAATGAAGTGCTAAATGAATAAAATACAACACATGTTAAGTAGGAATGCTGCTCGCTAGTGCTTTTATTCAATTCTAATACATAACCATTTTATTAATCCAACTGTATAGCCCAAATTCATTACACTCCATTTCATTACTATCCTCCATATTTCTTGCAATTTTGAAATCCTTACGAGCAAGCTTAGAGTGCCGTGCTACCGCATGGTCTTACTATTTATACCCTTTATAACCACGTGACTTCAAAAGAAAGTGTTTAAATTAAATACTAAATAAAAAACATACCGCACATAATTTTGAGTAAGTATAATGGTACATACTACCGGGTATGTTACATTGCATCGCTTGAACTATCTGATCAATTGAAAGGCCGTGACACCCAATGCTTTATCAGTGATAACGAGATTATTTTCTATTCATAATTTTATTAGCTCACCTGAGCCGAAGGCTCAAGTGAGCTTTTCTGATCAAAATTTGTCCGTCGTCTGTCGTCGTTGTCGTTGTTGTCGTTGTCGTAAACTTTTCATATTTTCATCTTCTCCTCAAGAACCACTGGACCGATTTCAACCAAACTTGCCACAAAGTATCCTTAGGTGAACGGGATTCAAGTTTGTTCAAACGAAGGGCCACGCCCTTATTCAAGGGGAGATAATTCAGAAATAGTAAAAATTTGATGCTATGTTTTAAAAATCTTCTTCTCAAGAACCACTGTGCCAGGAAAGATGAAACTTATAGGGAAGCATCCCCAGGTAGTGTAGATTCAAGTTTGTTCGAATCATGACCCCCGGGGGTAGGGCGGGGCCACAGTGGCCAATCAAATGTTTACATAGAAATGTATAGGAAAATTCTTTAAAAATCTTCTTCTCAAGAACCACTGTGCCAGGAAAGATGAAACTTATAGGGAAGCATACTCAGGTAATCTAGATTCAAATTTGTTCAAATCATGACCCCCGGGGGTAGGGCAGGGCCACAGTGGCCAATCAAATTTTTACATAGAAATATATAGGAAAATTCTTTAAAATCTTCTTCTCAAGAACCACTGTGCCAGGAAAGATGAAACTTAGAGGAAGCATACTCAGGTAGTGTAGATTCAAGTTTATTCAAATCATGACCCCCGGGGATAGGGCGTGGCCACACTGGCTGATCAAATTTTTACATAAAAATATAAAGGAAAATTCTTTAAAAATCTTCTTCTAAAGAACCACTGTGCCAGGAAAGAGGGAACTTATAGGGAAGCATCCTCAGGTAGTGTAGATTCAAGTTTGTTCAAATCATGACCCCTGGGGGTAGGGCGGGGCCACATTTGCCCATCAAAGTTTTACATAGAAATATATAGGAAAATACTTAAAAAATCTTCTTCTCTGGAATAGCATAGGCATGATTGATCATATTTTTATGGAAGCATCCTCAGGTAGTGAAGATTCAACTTTGTTCAAATCATGACCCCTAGGGGTAGGGCGGGGCCACAATGGATTAAAGTTTCACATAGAAATATATAGGAAAATTCTTTAAAAATCTTTTTCTCGGGAATAGCAAAGGCATGAATGATTATATTTTTATGGAAGCATCCTCAGATAGTGGACATTCAATTTTATTCAAATCATGACCCGCGGGGGTAGGGCGGGGCCACAACATAGAATCCAAATTTTACATACAAACATGTAGAAAAAATCTTTAAGAATCTTCTTTTCAGGAATAGCAAACCTATGATTAGTCCTCTTCATGGTGTAGATTCAATTTTGTTCAAGTCATGACCCCTGGGGGTAGAGTGGGGTCACAATGTAAGTTCAAATGTAAAGGGCAATAAAGCCACAGGTAATCAAAGAAATATGCAAGCATCCTAAGTAAGTGTAGATTCAAGTTTGTTCAAGTCTTACCCTCTCCCTTTTAAGGATTGGTTGGGACCACTTTTGGTTTTAACTTTTCAAAAATAAACTGATTTAATTATGCTTTTTTCTTAGCTACATTGCTCAGGTGAGCGATGTGGCCCATGGGCTTCTTGTATAAAAACAAATACTCTCAAATAAACAAGGTGAAAATTAAAGAACAATTTCAAAATTTCAATTATCGTTCATCTTGGAGCTACGATCCTATAGCTGTCCACGTTCATTCCTTGCATATCACGGTCCATATCATACGGTTACCACGTCCTTGGACCTGCCACAACGTCCTCGACGTCCCTCGCCATTCCAAAGCGTCCTAAGCGTCCTAAGCGTCTACAATGCTGACAACAAAAGCCAGGAGACAATGTTTCTCCGCACGGCGTCGTCCTACCGTACCACGCCATTGTGTAGTCGTCCAGGTTGCCACCATCGACAGCACCACACCAACGTGTAACCACTCTTATGTATCTACAGGAACCTACAGGAATAAACCTAACAAACTTTCCATGGGCGTAGATGTGAAACTACTCTCACTGGTCAAGGAAAAACGTGCGCTACCCAAGACAAACCTGACTTTACCTTATTTAGGGACTGGCAAAAGTATTTGAATCACTTAAACGAACAATGGAGCTCCTTGCAGGATAAAACACTTTAATACAAACAAGGGTCACCACAGAGAAATAAAATAGAAATAAATATAACAGGAGATGCTTACTCCTTCTAGGCACTTGATTCTACATCTAATATTTCTAGGGACCGTGAATTTTGCTGTTCACGATTTCTGTATTTACTTGCGTCACGAGATGAATAACTTGCATTTTATTCACCCTTTACATTAAATAATTAATTACTCCATAATATCCCTATAGTAATAAAACGAAATTCCAACAATAATATCTGTAACCCTTTTTTTCCAGAATGGACTTGGAAGACGCATCCTATCCTTGGAATAAGATATTTCACTACAGTTGAAGGCTGCAATGCTGCAGGACTTTGTAGTCAGTCCTCTTCGAATGGCGTTATTGTTGATTTTACTCCTCCAATACCAGGCTATGTTTCTGTGGGGCCCGAAAATGTTAAATATATAGCACACACGTAAGTTTTACAGGAAGTTTTACTGATTACTTGATATGAAAAAATGTAAAAGTAAACTTAGAAAAGGTATTTTCTCTTATCACATGTTTATGATATTTTAAAATTATCAAATTAGAGAATATTGCCTTCCTGTAAAAACACACAAGCACTGGAATTATTTCTCATTGTTTTATCTTCTACACATGACATGCCAAAAATATGGTTAGACAAAATATCATTCTGACATATAAAAGACCTTTAATCTCACACAATTATGAGAATTGGGAATTATGCAATTTATTCATATAATTACTCATACATTCTCATTCACAGAAATTAAAGATAATGAACAAAGTTCGACTCTATTGAAAATGTAACAAACTTCAGTTTTGTCATTTATCAGTCACCCTTTCTAAATGTTTCCTGTGGTAACTCCTTGAGATAATTTATTTTTCATTGTGCAGATCTTTCCTGTCTGTGGAATGGGGTAACTTTGCAGACATTCAGTCTGGTATTTTACAGTACGACATTTGCATTGGAACAGACAAAATGAACTGTAGTGTTATAGGATGGAGAAATTATAGACTGGAACAGTCTGTTTTGTTATTGAACCTCTCGCTACCCATTAACGTAGACTTATTCATAATGGTGAATGCCACCAATAAGGCTGGTCTTTCAACAGTACAAACCTCCCACAGCTTTACTGTAGACAATACACCTCCCGAGATAACGCTGTCTCCAAGATTTCTCTATGGTGAGAATGTTTCGTCCGTCATCTACGATTCCTCGGTGATGCGAGTGAGATGGGGATTTACCGATAATGAAAGTCCGATTAGATCGTCTGTGCTTACCCTAAAGGTTCTTTCAGGAGGTCATTTCGAGATAGAAAATGTCCTTGTGGAAGGAAATGAAACTTTCGTAAAATCACTTCCCTTGAAAAAATGGTTGTCGGATGGTGATAGCTACTATGTTGTCGTTACTGCCTGTAATATGGCCGGTCTTTGCACGTCAAGCAAGAGTGAAATTGTCTTATTTGATGGGACTCCGCCATCTCATGGTCACGTGATCAGTGTAGGAACCTGGTCTAATTCTAACTCTACACTAACTTTAAAATGGGCAAATTATAGTGATCCGGAATCTGGTATTAAATTGTATTTTATTACTGTTGGTGAGACATATAACGGTTTTGAACTTACCATGGGAAGTGCTGCTTTCACACATATCGGCAATGAAGGTTCTCTGCAACAAGGTGTTTTTAACTTGTCTCGCAATCTTACGAACGGGGAAAAAATTGTTATGTCGATTTGGGCAATGAACAATGCTAACTTAAATAGTACAATGAGGCGAGTGACATTTGTTACAGTTTCTAATGATAAAAATAATACAAATGGAGATCTCTTTATGGAGAGACATTCTTGTGAAGTATCATATTGTACCAATGATTGCACGTGTGCAGTACTTGGTGGAAAATGTCTTGAGGTCGTTAACTCTCAAGACTGTAGACAACGAAACATGTCCTATTTAGCAGGTGATGCCAAAGTTTCTCTCAATATTTGGGGAGGTTACTCGAATCGTTGGACAACATCAACACGCTGTCTTGGTGCAAACTGGTTCGTTGAAAATATAAATGTTTCTAGATTTGAATGGAGCATGGGATTGTTGAATATGCCTCACGGTTTCGGGGTTTTCGATAGAATGGAAGAACAAGTTTGGCATGACGTGAGCTTACAAACAAGGGTTGTTCATTGTTTGAAACCGACCAGACAACTCGCCCATGAACGAGAATATGTGGCTTACTTGAAAACATGGATTTCGAGCACTGACTTTATACTGACTCAATCAGAACAAATACTTATCGACGCCTCAGCACCCAGCGTCCGCAGAGGGAGGTTCATCATTGATTCCGATAAGGTCTGTTCCAGAGATCAAGAGTTTACAAACACCAAAAACATTATTTCATGTTGGAAGGACGTTTTTTCTGACCCTCAAAGTGGAATTAGAGAATATAAATTCATGGTTGGTGTAACACCAGGAGGTAAGGAATATGACACATTGAAGAAAAAAAGCATTATGATTATTTTTGTTTAAATATCTTAATTGTGACTGCTGTTATTTTCTTTTATCGTTTTCAGGATATGAGATTTTTGGAATCAAAAGTGTTGGATTAGCCATTAATTTTACATGGACGTTTGCCAATCTTGAACCTGGTGTTAAATATTATGCCTCTGTTGAAGCTGTAAATTTTGTCGGTTTATCAACAGTTTTGACGTCAGATGGCATAACGATCGACTTTTCTCCTCCAGAATCCGGCATAGTTTTTACCTCAAACTTTTTTCACGATACAAAATGGCTGTCGGAAACATCGACAGTGAGCGCTTCTTGGGAAGGATTTACCGATTTTGAATCTTCTATAGATCGATATGTTGTATCACTTAAAGATTCTAATCAAAACGTTATAAGAGAAGAGGAAGAAGTAGGAATATCAAATAAGCACACTTTCACTGGCCTTTCTCTACTTCATGGAAAGAGCTATTTCGTGCTCGTGAGAGCAGTGGACGCAGCTGGACATAGCAGTAACGTTTCTGTGTCCCCACCAGTGACTGTGGATGTTTCAAAACCAATTGGAGTAAGATGCAATACGTATTCAGTTCAAATCAACGCAACGGTAGAGATAAGAGCGGGAGTAAAAGAAGAATTAATAAAGGCATTTTCGTTCAAGCGAGATACTTTGTACAAGGTTTTTGTCTCAGGAGAAAGAGATAGTAATATGAATTCTATAATTGTTGAAGTATCTGGGACCTCTTTTGATATACCTTTCAGTCCAAACATGATGGACCTTGTGATCATGTCAAAGGTAGAGGAGACAGCCGGTGTAGCTGTTACAGTGAACTCTCTGAAACCTAGGAATGTGACTTTAAACTTTGCTCTATACGAGTGCATGGATGCGCAAACAAATGCTTCTAACGCTATTGTTTTTCGGCAAATTTCTCCTAATTTGCTCTCAGTTGCAGTAAATGCCATTGACCCTGAAAGTGATTTAAAGGACATACAAATATATTTAGGAACAAATTGGCAAGGAAGGCAGTTAAAAACAGTTAAATCTCTTACTCCTTTCAGATTTCAAAATATTCTTTTACCAATATCCCATGGTACAAAAGTGTATCCTTCTGCCCTTGTAGAAAACAATGCTGGTCTTAAACAGTATTTTAAGTCTGATCCTATTGTATGGGATCACACACCACCAGATATTTTGATAAAAAATGTTTCCGTTGAATATCATGATGTCATTGGAAGGATTAGATCCAGCATTATCGTACACTGGGAAGTTACAGAGTATGAGAGTGGCATCCAATACTGTCAATGTGCTTTTGGTAAGATTTTAATGATTAAATGCTTAAAAAAATAGATGGGTTATTTATTGGTTATTTACTTTTTAGTTTTTACAGTTATTAAAACATGCAAAAAAAATTTTGCATTGTAGGCGATAAATTTGGTTTAAAAAATTTACAGACTTGGATGAAATCACACAGCAATTCTCTTTGTCGGTCCTCTCTGTTAGAAATAACACATGGCTCTCGTGTTTATGCATCAGCGCAATGTTTTAACAAAGTTGGACTTCAAGCAGAAGTGAGCCGGAAAACACCCATCGTGATATCCTTTGATTCACCCCGAACTCCGACAGGACACGTCGATTTCGTAGTGTATAGTGCTACTGTCAAAAGTTCAATAAATTATCAGCGGATATCTTCATCTCTTCATTTTCACTGGCCAGCATTCCAAGACATATCTGGAATCGCTAAATACAGCGTGTGTATTAAATCGGATGAAGTGATGGTTTACGACTGGAGGGATGTTGGGAGACACACCTACTTTTCTACTGACGAATTGACACTAGATCCACATAAAAACTACAGTGTGTATGTCTTTGGGACTAACAAAGGGGAAAAAGACAGTAACTTAATAAACGGATCAATATCTATAAATGATGTCGTTCCTCTACAGACAGGTATGTGTTGGTTCTATTAGGTATTTAAGTCTTAAACTGAATAGTAAAAATGCTCTTCGTTATCATCATATATTTCATAAAAAACTTTGTTGAAAGAATGATGCTCAAATTCTGAAATTGATGAAATATCCCCATATTTTTCTTTTGAAATGTTCATTAATTCTTTTTTCCGTTATCGATTTCCAGGAAATCCCTGTGTTATATCTGGAAACAATACAAGTCTGCTGGTTTCCTGGAAAGAAGTGTTCGAATTGACCTCGGTCTTGGAGCCAAAGTTTGTCGTCAATATTGGCTCAAAAGTCGGATATTCTGATCTGTTAAATAATTTTAAAACAAGCAACAATGAATATCTTATGTCCTCAAATTCGAAGCAGTTCTATGTCGTTATAACGGCAAAGTATGTAACTGGCTCTAAATCTACGTACAGAGAATTGATCACAGCCAACTATCAATAAGGAAAGAAAAATCTAAATGATCAACATTAAAATAATTTTTGTTTATAAGGCCCCATTTCATTGGTGAAGATATATGGTGAAATTTATTCAATTAAGATTTAAATTTAATTTAAATGGGTAAGATACTTACCGTAGATAATTTTACTTCGCCTTTGTACAATCGAATTAATACAGCACATGTATGAAACAAAGCAAAGCTTTGTTCATATAATTGTTTATACTCATATTGTCAAAAAATACCTATAGTTGGCTTGTTTTAATTCTTTGCGGAAAAACTTCCTGAAAACATTCATTAGTGTATGTCTGGCTTCAATTTGATCACAGTTTTCTATTCATTGATTTTTTTTATAGTTTTGAAATAAAAATACCATGAATTGTTTCATTTCGTATAGTTTGGGTTTATCACCAAATTAGATTGGGGGGTTATTTGGGGGTTATTTGACACGTGATCCACGCGAATCATATGTGCCAAAACATATCCACAAGGTGTTCGGCTGTCTAAAACTAGACAAATGCCAGCACCTACTGCGACAAGTCCCTCATTTTATACAATCTTATCCGAAAGAGAGGTTTCAGAAGTAGACATGTCAGTTGACTGTTTGTCAAAGTTTAGCTTAGTATGTCTGATTTTTTACTCTTTACAACAGGTTTTGTTATATTTTTGCAAGAAACAAGATAATTAAAAAAGAACTGTATCGTAAAGTTCGGAGTATGGCTTTGAAACTTTAAAAAATGTTCAAAATGCTTATTAAGTATAGGCAGATGGATTTTTTTCTTTAAAAAAAAACATTATTTGAGCAGAATATGAGGAAAAGTCTAGAATATGTCAAGAACATATTTATTAGAGACGGGGTATGTTTGATGAATTCTAAAAAACAAAAACAACAATTGTTATTAAAAATGAGCAAAGACGTATACTTAAGTGTGCATTTCGTGTGTATCGAGCAATACATATGGTAAGCTGGATGATTTTTTTAAATTTCCTTTTAATATCTGTTTTATTACTATTATTTTTGCTACATGACTAAACTCATGAAAAAACATTTTTTCTTTCTGAAATATCAATCACAGTCAACTTATAACATCAGAAAAATATCAAACCAAGGCAATGGACAAGATTTCAAGACTAAACTAGAACTAAATGTCGATGATATTTCACTTGTTTCTTTCACTAATTTCTTAATTGATTGATGAGAAACAAATAATCATGGTTATAATAAATATTTAATACTGTAACAAAGAGATAAATATAAACATACATGATTGTATATGATAACAAACAAATAACATCACCAATATAAAACTAAAACATTTAATACTTTGACGTCCTTCGTTTGAAATACTGGTTATTATTCTTTTGTAATCCATTTTGAGATATGTGATTTTGGTGTAGCGCAGATGAACCAAAAAGAACAGGTTGAACATGGAAAGGAAGAAGGGGCTGCAGGCCCATAAAATGTTTATTGACTTGATGATGGATGATATTATGTGATGTAGGATACGGTAAGATAAAAGGTCTTAAGGATAGATGTGGTGAAAATCTTTTTCCATACGACGGACCGTTAGAATATTTGTTGCCGTAAGTTTTTCTATATCCATATCCATTATTTCTTTTGTAGGATAGATTAGGTGTAGTTCGGTAGCTGTGACCATATCCTGTTTTCTTATCATACGAATTCCTATTGTTCATACCATAACCATATCCTGTTTTCTTATCGTACGAATTCCTAGTGTTCATACCATAACCATATCCTATTTTCTTATCATACGAATTCCTAGTGTTCATACCATAACCATATCCTGTTTTCTTATCATACGAATTCCTAGTGTTCATACCGTAACCATATCCTGTTTTCTTATCATACGAATTCCTAGTGTTCATACCGTAACCATATCCTGTTTTCTTATCATACGAATTTCTAGGCACAATGTTTTGATATCCATATCCATAACTATTTTTTCCATAGCCATAAGTCTGTTTTTTATCGTACGAATTCTTCTTGTAGTAACCTTTATTTACATTTTGTTTGTAGCTATTGGTCCAGGCTTTTTGTAAATCGACATTCATGATCTCTTTTTCTATTGCGTCATAGGTAGAGACTTTCTTCGTCTTTTTCGGTTTTAACATATGAAATAAATAATGTTGATTTTGTCTTGGTACAGGAGGAGGTATTGGTTTGTTTGGTATATACACTTTAGGTGTCGGTTCTGGTTTAGGGACAGGTGGTAGATTAATAGGTATTATCGATATTTGTAACCTAGGTCTTGGTTCCGGCCTTGGAGGAGGTATAATCGGAGTTCTTAGAATTTGGAGCTTTGGTATCGGTTCTGTTTTAGGTGGCGGGATTTTTGGAGGTAGGGTAGGGGGAGGGTTAGTGGGAGGAGGAAATGTTGGAGGGAAGATTGGTGTTCTTAATATTTGTAGTTTTTGCACTTCTGGAACTGGAGGTGGAGGTGGTGTTGTAGGTATGGGAGGGATATACGTTTGAGGCGGGAGAGGAGGAGGGGTGGTAGGTGTTGGGGGAATATATGTTTTATGTACTATTGTTCGGGGCGGAGGAGGGGCAGGACGAGGGGTGGTAGGTGCTGTGGGAATGTACGTTTTAAGTACTATTGTTCGGGGTGGTGGAGGAGGAGGAGGGGGAGTTGTGGGTGTCGGGGGAATATAATGTATTACAGGCGGAGAAGGAGGGGATGTAGGTGGTGGAGTAGGGTAGGGTATTATAGGCTGAGGTGGAACAGTGGGTGGTGGAGGAGGAGAAGGCGCCAGATAGGTTCTATGTATGATTGGTTTTGGAGGATTAGTAGGAGGAGGGGGAGGAGTTGGTGGTACATGCGTTCGATATACAAATGGAGGAAATGTGGGAACAGGAGTTGTTGGAGGAGTTGGTGGTTCATGTTTTCGATATACAAATGGAGGAAATGTGGGAACAGGAGTTGTTGGTTCGTAAATAACTTGATGATCGATCTGTAATTTTGGTGGAACATAGTCTATTGTATTGTCGTCATCATTGTATTTGTTAAAGTTTCTACTTTCCTCTTGATATCTATTGTGATGTTCACTTTCCCAGGCATGCTTGTCAAAGAAATTGCGATAATGGTTAACATTATTCTTTGGAGAAGGGTTAACCTTATTCGTTGTTGGGTGGTTCACCTTATTTATTGGTGTATTTACTTTCACGGCGACTGGCAACTGCTCTTCACTGCTACTGTAGTAATCCTCATCGGAGTAGTAGTACTCCTGGCTGTTAGATTCAGAGCTATCATCTTCCCACATGTGCCTCGTATTGTGACCAATCTCGACACTTCCTTTTTCATTACTGCTACTGTCCAAATCGTGTTCATTTGAAATCGACGATGACCTAGATCGAGATGCTGAATCTTTTTTATGCTGTAGTGGTGATATCCCTTCACTACTGTTATCGTCATACTCTTCACTCCCGCTGCTGTCATAGTCCATGTTATGTTTCTGATGTGATGATGAAGTGTCTTCACTACTGTAGTCGACAAATTCTTTACTTTCGCTCTTGTCATAGTTAATATCTTTGTTATGGTTATGATGTGGTGATAAAGTTTCTTCACTACTGTCATATTCCTCGCTTCCGCTACTGTCATAGCCAATTTTATCGGTGAAATAACGTTTTCTCGTTGATTTACGATAAGCATCTCTCACCTTATCGGAAAATACTGATGCATCCTTTGCACCAAGGCGTTTCGTATTCCATATACCTTCTGCTGAAAAACTCTCTTTAGACTCATCAATATAGTCATCAACTTCTCGACTTTCTCCATAATTGATATAAGATTTACCATTATACGCTGCAACGGTCGAGAGAGTTTTTAGTGTGGAATCCCCACCATATAGTTTTCCCTTTACTGGATTAAATTTTGAAGACCGATCTTTATATTGGTCTACGTAATCTGGAGTATCCTCATATTGGTAATCAAAGTCCTCTTCACTTTCGAAACTATCACCCTCTTCACCATGCCTAATGTCTTTAACAGAAAATGGTGCAATATATCGGCCTTTATTGCTTACAGGCTTTCTACCGTATGTCTTTTTATTTGGCACTTGTACCTTTAAAGATCGATCTTCGTAGTCATTAACATAATCGGTATCCTCAAACTGGTAATCAGTGTCCTCTCCACTTTCGAAGCTGTCGCTTTCTTCACCATGTCTAAGCTTTTTAACAGAAAAGGGTTTTATATAAGATCCTTTATTATTTGCTTGGCTATTACCGTATGTTTTTTTCTTTGGTACTAGAACCTTTGAAGATCGATCTTCGTAGTCATTAACATAATCGGTATCCTCAAACTGGTAATCAGTGTCCTCTCCACTTTCGAAGCTGTCGCTTTCTTCACCATGCCTAAGCTTTTTAACAGAAAAGGGTTTTATATAAGATCCTTTATTATTTGCTTGGCTATTACCGTATGTTTTTTTCTGTGGTACTTGAACCTTTGAAGATCGATCTTCGTAGTCATTAACATAATCGGTATCCTCAAACTGGTAATCAGTGTCCTCTCCACTTTCGAAGCTGTCACTTTCTTCACCATGCCTTAGCTTTTTAACAGAAAAGGGTTTTATATAGGATCCTTTATTATTTGCTTGGTTGTTACCGTATGTCTTTTTATTTGGTACTTTAGCCTTTGAAGAACGATCTTCGTAGTCATCAACATAATCGGGAGAATCATCATATTGGTAATCACTATCCTCTCCACTCTCGGAACTGTCTCCTTCTTCATTATATTTAAGGTCTTTAAAAGAAACTGATTTTCCATACGTAGCTTTATCATTTTTTGAAACTTTATCGTATGTCTCTTTATCAGACACTTTAGACTTCGATTCCTTTTCTTTAAATTCATTTGTATAATCAGGGGTATCCTTATATTGATAATCATTATCCTCTTCTCTTTCGGAGCTATCTTCATCCTCATAATCGTATGTACCATCAAGTTCTGTTTGTTTCTCATTATAATGTGGGCTCGATAACTTTCTTTCAGGGTCATGAGATGGCACGTCTCTTCTCCTGGTTATTTTATCTGGGATTTGAAAACTGAAGAAATCTTTCCAGAGTAGACTTTCCAGCTTTCCGTCTTCTACATTTCCTGCACTATCTACAACATTAGCCTCTTGGTTTCCAGTTTCAGGACTCGACTTGTGATAATAATAATTGTGGTCTGTTACTAGCGCACGTGGTTCTTCATTGTCATTTGCCTTGTCTTGAACAACTGATTCAGCATAACTCTCGGGTGTGGAATTCCAATCCATGTTCAGTGATTCGAGGTGTGATTCTATGCGATTTTCAGGTGCCGAATTCCAATCGAGAGATTTTAATTCATGGAGTGGTTCGACATGACTATTTGGCACGAAATTCCACTTAAGGTTTCCTGATTCCTGAAGTGGTAGTGCTTCCATTCCTCTCTCGGGCGTAAAATACCATTCTATATTGTCTGCTTCGTGGCGTGGTTCTGCTTGATTTTCGGGAGTATACATCCAATCGGCATTTTCTGGTTCTTGTTTCTCATCAAGCATCCTAATTATAAAGTCTGAAATGTCGTAATCGTCGTCATCTTTTCCCTCTTCGTTTTCATCTCTTTCTTCGATGAGTTCTTCGAGATCATCTTCGGATATTAGTTCCCCTTTTGTATTTTGTGAAATCCTTTTTCGAATAATTGGCGATTCGCTTTCAAAAAAGCGCACAAAATTCAATAGTAAACTTGAATTGTTATCGCTTTTCTTGTTGGTGGAATAAGTTGCATTAACTGAAGATGATTCTGACGTGTTACTGGCTTTTACGGGTGGATTGCCTTGCTTTTTATATTGTTTGTATTTTGTCAACATATTTCTCAGAACACTTTTTGGAATAACATGCATTGTGCCATTACTGTTTTCGGTGCTGTTATTCAAGATCCTTACTTTTAGCATTGAACGGAGTTTTCGTATTTTCTTCAGAAAATTTTGAATTTGTTTAAATCGATAGGCATTTATCTTTTTTATGCGTACACTACCATTCTTCATCATCTTTGGCTGTTCACGCGGTTCGTCGTCGGTAGTATTATTAAATTCATCATCCTGATGTTCTATAGTGACAGATGCGTTAACTGAATACGAGTCTTCTGTGTCTTTTGACTTATTCAATGTTGTCAGATTGTTCTTTTCTAAGTCTAGATTAAGTTCTTGTCTGCTAGAGGTGGTCGCCGTTACCATGGTGGAGGTTGGAGCGCCATCTACTAGGACTGCAACCAGCAAGACTGACGTCACTAAACTGAACATCTGCAATGATAAAAAAGTTCAAACATGTAATAAAAGCACCTTACAATCAAACGATTCAGCGGACGGAGACGCTATCCTTCACCTGTGATACATGAGAAAATATTTTAGTTCCTACCCTTTAATTAAATGCAGTTACATGATGCAATGAAAAAGAAACTTTTGATTAGATAAACTGTTTGTATGATCAGTAGCATATAGTAAAGACTTTTTATCTAACAAAAATTGATAACAGATTAAGAAATCAAATTATATAAAAAATAAAGTCGAAGAAAATTTAAACAAAAAATGTTGAACGTTTATATGAAATATCTATGTAACGGGCTTGGGTTTTGCAAAATCAAATTATCATTGTTTTTAAAATGTATTTCGGCCATATGACTATTGACTTATTCCTTTGCTTTCCAGAATTTTTTTTTCAATATTCATAGAAATATCATTTAACCTTACCTCTCGGTAAAACAAAAAAATCTGTCGATCTGCAACCTTAACTTTTAATTTTATTCCATTAACAGACAATATTATAGTTCTAAGGTCAGTGTTCCAATTCAGATGAACATATCAATTCCAAAGGATCATAATAAACCTAATGAATTTGAATAGGGTAATCGTATGCATTAATCATTCAAAGAAAACTGGAATGGTTAAGTCTGTCAGGAAAAACTTTTAATATAACAGAGTGACCGATTTTTCATTTGTTGGTGTTTTTAGCCACACCTCTTTGAGTGACATGTGAGTTAATTTGAGAATTTGACAAGTTTTCCGTCAGGTTTGACGGGGTTTGACGGTTCATGTTTGACCCTGGAGATCATACAGAGTTATTGCTTGATTGCAAATCTAATTATTATTTATTTTGAGTAACACATCTTTATTTTTATCGAGGATCTCATTTGCATGTATAATGACCCTTAATTTTTTCTGATTTACAGTCTGGTTATAACAAATAAGTTAATGAATAGCAATAAAAACTTCTAGATTGCATACCTCAAAAATCACCCATTTTTATTTAAGTAAATGTCAGGGTTTTGAAGATAAAAAAGAAAGTAAATGTACATTATTTGGACATATAAAAGGGGAAATAAACTTCAAGTCATGTTTTAAAGATTATTATTTATTTGTTTCTTTGTTTTATAGACATCTCTTTACGAGCGTACTTATTTTAGAAGATAAAAAATATTACTTTTTTAACTCATAATGAGACACCACTATTTGCCATTACCTACTGCGACACAGGACCTCGGTTTATATATGGACTCCTAGAAAGGATCGGTCCACGTCTTGCGATGACATATTATCCCGCGACATAAGGAACTTACTCTAGGACTCTATAACAAATGTTCTGACCACGGCGCAAGGCATTTTTATTTGTTTAAAGGGTTAAATATATTTCTTTAATTAAAAGCAGGCTTATTCTTAAATCTCACTTATTACTATGTTTTTAAAATATATTTTAAAATAAATTAATATGTTGGCAATATAGTTACAGTTCGATCAAATTCGGTTTTGCTAGACTGAAATTTGCTTCCATATAAAATCCTGTGCTTACAAGTTTTTTTTGGCATGGCCAAGTTCGAACTATATATGCTTTTCGCCAATTAAAATATCTAATTTTTTCTTGATAAATCTACTTTAAGCTGAAGATTAAATATACCGGTGTCTTCTGTTAAGATGCTATTTTAATTAAATACCCCCCCAAAATATATATATTTTTAGTAATTTATCATGAAAATGTAAGGCAATAATTAGTATATCTTTAAAGTGGCACATGCCAAATATAAGAAATAGAGAAAGTTACATATAACATTTGAAAAAATAAAGATATGTTACACAATTTCAAAGCAATCAAACTATTCTTACTATTTAAATAAATACTGATATCCAAACCTGATGCATCACTAAAGTAGCATTTGTTAACTATTTTTTCTGTCAAATACATCTCAAATCTAGACAAAATTCCCCTCCCCACCCGTATGCTTGCTACATTTTTTTTTCTACTTTTATCTCACAATTGAAAATGATAACAAATAACTGTTATCAAAAATAATTTCAGGAAATATGTACTTAATTCTTAGATGAATGCAATTACACCAATACTTACAGATAGTTCTAATAACACGATCAGCATTCAATAATTTAACAATCAGTTGGAAGTAAAATATATACCTTATTAAAAATCAAAACAGTGCACTGCTTAAAACTTTACGAAAATACCAATGAACCGTGACATGTGCAGTTAACCGATCAGATCATCAGAAGATTTCTTTTAGTAGAATCGAAATAGACATTGTACATACCCTATTGCCTGGGGTCCCAGTAGACACTACACTTCTGCGGCCAATTCATGAAATAAATAAAAAACCAAACACTCCCGAGTAAATTCTCCGGTGGCCCGTGCCGTGCATACTAATGAGGGGAGAAGGAAAGCTCCTCTGCGGTCACATTATTAACTAATTAATACTTAATGATCACCATAATTAGACACACTGGACGGGAAAAGACGAAGATAAAAGGTTTCAGGTGAATCCGTTTTAGGATTTTGATTGGCAGTGAATATGGTTTTCCATTCTATAATAATTTGACTTGAATTTTAAATTGAATTATGAAGTGTGTAAATATAGTAAAAAATCATGATATATTTATTTATTATTAGCAATATATTTATTTCAGGCAGGATATAATGACAGTTTATTTTAAATCGGCAAGCCTTGTTACATTTTGACAGAAGTACAAACATACAAAGAAAATTAATTTCAAAAGATGAAAAGCAAACACAAACCTGTAACATAAAATGAGTATCATATTTTTACATTTTTAAAAAAAATCAATTTACAGACGTGAACAAAAAGCAATATAAATCTCCACACATATTTGTCAAAATATATACACTAGACAAAATTACAACCCCAAAGAAATAAAATATATGTAAATATTCTACTTTCCAAAAGTTGTCATGGAAAATTAGATATTGACGAAACTGATTAATTATTGCAATGTTAGCTGAAGCGTATATATATACCATTTAATGGAAACAACGACACTCATACTCCTTCATTTTGAAGGAATGAGTTTTATTTCTATGATTTTGTGTTCTTTATGTTTATACAATATTGTAGTGATAAAAATTTAAAAAAAATACACCATATGCCGCGTTTGATTATTCTACAAAGCTGAAGACGTTTGGTGGACTAAGCATTGACACCAAACTGAGGCACAGTATGATTACTAGCACTAGCTGACAAGGTTGTCATTCTGTATATGACGGGGTATATAAGTTTAAACCAGTAGACTGCTTTTTGGCATTCTCACTAATCACTACCATTAAATTGGTTATAATCAAATTCATATCTGGTCAAAAAGTTAGACAAATGTTCAATTAAATGGCAAAAAAAAAAAAACGAGTTAGGAATTTTGTGTAGTGTATAAAATTATACAAAATAAATTTTAAAAAAGGGATGTTACACGTATTTTACACCAAAAGGTTTAAAAGTTTTAATTTTTTAAATTGACATATACAATGTGAAGTCGGACATTTTGGACAACTATCTAAACACCACTGAACCATTCCCGGTACTGAACGCCAACGCTTAGTAGGGCGGCACTTCATTTGATTGGCTTTATTTTTAGCCATGTCAATGTATTTTTTGTTTCCTTTTCTTTTATATTTTGAAACCATGTCGTCCTCCGATATTTCACTGGTATCTTTACTAGATTTTTTGTTGCTAGTTTCTTCACTAGAATCTTTGTTGTTGTTGCTTTCTTCACTAGACTTTTTGTTGTCGGGTTCTTTGGAGTGGTCTGTGGATTCCTCACTAGAATCCTTATATTTAATTTTTATCTTCCTGAGGATGCTGATGTCGGCACAGTTGTAGAATTGTTCCTGTGGACCCAGCCCCACACCGCATCCGTCATCACCACAACCCCAGCTGTTACCTGGAAAGATATGTCAACTTATTAGATTGATTGATTGGAAAAGTTCATTGTATATGTATAACTCTACAGTTCAAAGGAAGGGATAAGTCAAAAAGGTATGCTTAACCCTTAACATAGCATCAAACAGAAATTTACTATGTTCTGTTTGGGCCTTTACCAATTACTGTAATTGTGTTTGTGTCAATAAAATATTTGTATTTCCATTATAAGGACCGACCTACAGGTTAGTCCCTGACATTACTGAAATGCTGCTTTACCTGCGTTATATTTCCATTGCAGAACACATTTTTGGCATGAAAAATCAGTCGGCAGTTGGATCCTCAGAGAAATCAAATTCTGCCTCCCAACATAAAACCTCGTGACGCTTCCCTTGCCTTGGTTTTCGGTTACGATAGGTAATACATTCTTATCCAGACACTCCTGGGTCACAGGTTGGTCAGTGTTGTCATGGGGGCAAAGTTTGAACTCCATCCATCCTAAGTGGTTGGCAGTTAGATTGACTACAACTTCAATATCTTCCCCGGAGCGGTAGGTTCTGATGATAAACCCCCTTCCGTAGAACCCTCCGTCCTCATTAGGACGGGGTGGCGGAAGATCATAGGCATCACCACAGATACCACATTTACCGCCATTCTGAGTCCACTGGCGCTAGAAATAAAGCACAGTGTTAGTATCACTTGATAAAATCTGCTACAAATACTGTGAGCACTAAGCTGATCAAAAGATACCTCGCCTCCCATATGATTTTAATGACAAAGTCTTGCTCTGAGAGACACGAAATAAGTGTCAGATCAAAAAGTAAAATAGGAGTAGCACAATGGATTTATGTTATAAAGAATCTGTGAAAATATCGTGAAATTTTACTCAGTGGTATAGGTGGGTTTTCAGATATGACATGGGTACCCTTCAATATTATAGAAAGAATAACAGTATTTACACGTTTTGCTATGGGAAACCCAAAATATGTTTCCAAGCAAGAAGTAAAACAGGTGGTGCACAGTGGCAATATATATTAACAAAGATTCTTTGAAAGTCTCATTCAGTGGTATCAGTGGAGTTATGGATAAGAGATAGGTACCCCAGCGAGTAAAAGTCAGACGGACGGACATATCCTCCCACTTTTCAAGCGGGTGGTACAATAATGTCATATGAAATCTTTATATATTCTTTTGTATGAAATATATAGCAATACCAGACAGTATTTAAGCTCAAAGGTCCATTCATGGACCTCTAGAACATTAGAGGTAGGATCGGGTGCCACGGAGGAGTGAGAATCCTCTGCCGACTGGTCATCATTTTTCCTTTTTAAAAAAATTCTTTGTCTTTTTTCGAAATAAAGATAAAACATCACCAAAATTAAGAATTTAAAAAGGTGATGTTTAGTGTCTTTCTGTTTCCTTCGGAAGAGATTACTTTTTTCGTTCAATTTCGAAATTCCCTTTTCAGTGCCCGCTCGATTTCTCGGAAAGCAGTTTTTCAATTTCAAGATTTTTTTCTAGGATTGATGCAATGCATAATTGTCATATTTTGAATAATCACTTCCAGTAGCATGCATTTTTGTCTGATTTTCATTTTTCAAATTAACATATCCAGGAATTTGCCTTAATTTTACTTTTTTTTCTGTCAAGGATTAAATTCTAAACACATTACTTTCTACTTCCACTTCATCGGAAAATTAAACATTTCTTGCTTTCCAGTTAATAGTTTTGATCTCGCGCACGGTGTTGGTGTGAAAAAGTCAAAAATTATTATTGCAGCGGTATTTGTGCTAATTTCATATTAAAAAATTGTTTTTTTTTCTTCTTATTTTTTTTCTTCTGAAATTGGTCTCAATAATCGCATTTTGATCCCCTTCTTTGCTCTTTTTTTTTTTAATTCAAGACGTATTTTCTCATCTCGCATAGTTTATTATACATAAATGCTACGCCGTCTCGGACAATTAGTTGAAGTTCGGTATGATAGATGGACAAAGCATGTAAATAAAATGTTGATGAATTGGATGGAACTGGTTTTTTTTCATGATTTGCATGTGCACAAAAAATGCTTTTCATAACTTTAAGATACATTTGTATTACATAAAGTACGTAAAATACATCAAGACATTAATCAGGAATTTACAAAGAATAAATTTAAAGTATTTTATTTAACTCTTATCTTATTCTTTTCATTATAAAAACCACCTTTCTGTTCTGTACAGATTAAGTTACAAAAAGTACTTTGCGTCGGTTGAAAAATGATGAATGTTGCCACAATAATAATTCAAGGTCAATATGCTCCAATCGAATAGAAACAATGTGAAAACCGTCCCCTATTGATAAAAACGTTTCATGCGTCACTCCTAGAAGACATATTTCTTCTTCTAGTAATTCTCTATTAGGTTGATGTCTTTTCCGTTAAGATAAGTTTTTCGTGACTGCTGAGAAGACTTTTATTTTTTTATTTTACTACAAAAGTCTTTTGACCATGTAAGAAAAATAAAAAGAAAAAATATTGTGTCCAGAATTGAGGAATTAAAAAAAAGTTTTTCAGGGTAACAAATTTTTTTTTTAATTCCAAAGATTTGAATCGTTGGAGGGAATGATTTTATTTTTAAGAAATTGTGCATAAAAATAAATATTTTTACGTTTCCGTTTTGCAATACATTACAAAGGGATTCTCAAAATTAAAATAACAGGGATCAGAGAAAATGAAAAACTGCTTATAAATAGTTTTATTTTTCCATGCTGGACAGCCAATTGTTTAAAAGAATCAATGATATTAATTATTTTTACTTCTAATTAATTAAATCTTTGTTGCCTTTTTACCTATCTGGTATGTAAAAATAGCCTTGTGTAGGATACCTGTATACCTGATCGGACTGTTGATACACAGGGGGCTAGTGACCCAGCCTTAGTGTAAAGATGATATACGTTACTAATGGTGGCTATTTATATACATCACCGTACATCAAAATATATCCTTTTACGTCTTTCCTAAAAGCAAGTCGTCCAGTTGGCGAAGCATGTAATTTATAGATAATTCATCAACAGGACAACAATCTATTAACAAGACATAATTAATTTGTCCACTGTAAAAAGGTCAACAACTGAATTATATATTGAGTTGATTTCGAAATTGATATTTTCAGAATGATTAAATTAAAAAAACAACAACACCATTAATCCATAAACTTCTCTCACTCTAAATCAGTATATATGTATAATGATCAACAATATGCAATGTTAATGCAAATGCAGTTCTCTATTTTAATTTTATTCGTTTTAATGAATGAATGCCTTTCGGTGAATATCCTCTCTTTTTTGTGCCTAAAAAATGTTTTTGAAAAAAAGATAATCGAGTTAAGTTTCCTGAACTTTAATTTAATTTAATTTTTGTTTAATTTTTGCTCTGTCTATAGACTTGTCTGTTCATCTGTTTGTTTGCAAATACATTAATCTTGTCCTTAACTTTTCATTGGTTGGTTCAACTTGGTTGGAGCTATGGCTTTAAATTTTTACAAGTGAATTCCTTGTGAGAATACATTTCTGTGGGATTAATTAACTATGAATGAATATAGTATGAATATATTTGACCTGTCTCTATTAGTTTAACCCATGCTGTTTGTGAAAAACTATTGCCAGAACTTTCTTGCATGTTTACCCATTGTGAAGAATGGAGATAACGAACTGTATTCAATATCAAAGTCCATAATATTCTTGTTTCATCAACTTCCTTTTCAATAATTTAATTCGTTTTAGAAATTGTTCATACGTAGAACATGCTTTTGCGTATCGAATCAACTGAGATATATATACTCCGTATGCAGGTGATGAAGATATATTGCTGCATAAGTAAGTGTAGTTGACGATAGAAAAGTTAAAGCAATCACGTTTATCAAATAGCTTGGTTGGTAGATTACCATTAACGTTTTTTTTTCAAATAAAATATCCAAGTATGTATGAAACAGATGTGTCAGACTCTCTGGTATCCTTTATATCAAGCTCACCAGGCTATATCGTATCGACATAGGAATGGAAATTACCACTGTTAATTGACAATACGTCGTCGATATATATTCAATGTTGAGTTGATACATGTATCTCTAAATGTTGAGTTAAAGGCCACAGCAAGTGTTTTCTTCTTTTCACACATAAGATTAAAAAATTTGACCCTGTAAGAGTTGAACCCACTCTAAAAAGAACTTTAACCTTGGTCTTAACTTGTGAATAATAAGTAATACTATGACTTTCATTTTTACATGTGTGTTCTTTGTGACAACATCGTACTTTACATACCAAAGTTTTGACCTTTTAGTCTTGGTGTTGACGTATTTAAAAAATTACCTTGACCATAGTTTTCGAACAGATGTTACTGAGACTTTTTATTTGATAAGAGAATTTTTCTTTTTCAAGTACTTTCTCTGGTAAGCAAGGATTTTGACCCTTTGATCTTGACCTTAAGAGTTTGATGTACTTTTAGAAACTTTAACCTTGGTCATAACTTTTAGACTGTTGGTTCTTCAAATTTCACATTTCAGAGATATATTCAATGATAGTTTTTACTTTTGAAACATTCTTGATCTCTTGACAATGGAGTTTAACCTGCTTTTGAGAAGTTAAAACCTTATTTTAGGCCGCGATAAGGGGGCTTCATTGTTTCACAAACACATCTAGTTTAATTCATTGAAATTTCTTAAAATCTTTGTATCAAAGTTTTTTTTTTGGCTTAAATTTGATCTCATTTTTAAATGTAAGAATTTTTCAAATATCTTTTTCTGCTCTCAGTTGTAAATATAAGAATTCTACATTATACCGTTGCTTTGATTTGGTGTAAAATGTCAGACTAATTAAGACTATAATTTCTTTTTAGGTGAACTAAGAAGTGTAAAATTTAAACCGTGAAAGATGTATGGTGCTACATGAATGTGTAGAAAGTAATTTTTAGTGACAAATGTTTTAAAAGCAAATAGAAAAGTGGGTCATTATCTGAATTTAACTATAATCAGTTTGGGAATACTAATTAAAATTCAACATGTAAAATGTTTATATACTTGTATATGATTTAGCTTGTACTTAATCTTTTGTAAATTTTTATTCTTTTTTTCTTTTAATAGAGTGTTTTAATTTCTTATAATAGAAAATAATGTCTTGAAAAAAATTATTTCAGCGGAGATAACTAACAACTACTCCCTGACTGTACATAGATCGATGATATCACACACTTGTTAATCAGCGTAAAATATTATATCTACGATAATATTAAATCTACTTCAACTAAATTTAATTTTAAGTTTTAATATTTTAAAAATAGATTTATAGATAAGAAATAAATTATTATATGATTAATGTTATAGGCTGAGACTCAATATATGAAAGTATTATGGAAGATCTACTTAATTAGGAGTTTTAAAACATTTATTTTCACGTCAAGTGATTGCTTTATTCGGCAAACATTTTGATTTCTCTTAATTCTAAAAAGAACCTTAGTAATCCTACCACTCACCTTAAATCCGCCACAGTTAAGGGCGTTGTCATTGAAGTTATCCGGACCGAGGCCCCGTCTCCAGAGGGAGGAGCGCTGGGGAGGTTCCACCAGGTAGCCGTGTCCCGTGGTTCTAGGAATGTCGTAAAATGTCACGACAACCAAAATCCAGAGCCAGCACGTGTACGGAGTTCCCTGCATCTCAACTGTGTGCAACCATCGGAAACCAACGAAATTTAAATAAAATTGGTAAAAAAAAAAAAAGAGAAAGGTGTTTAATCACAAAGGCTAGACTTATTGCAACTGCAGGGTATGCATATGCTTCACACAATGTAGTTAGTTTTTTGTGGGTCAAAAATACCGGCTAGCGACGTTTCCAGATGAACTTTGTGACCTATACTTACAACATCTGAGAAAGAGCAGGGTCTGTTTGGGGTAATTAATAATAAACTAACAACAGTCGAACGTCAAGGGGCACGGGATGATATCATTATTACAGAGGGTATAAAACTCATCACAGAAATATTAGTCAACAGATCTGCAACACAAAATTAGCAAAATATTCAAATATTTACGCCCAAAAGATTATGTTTACAGAGAAAAAAGTGGACAAGTAAGTCTAAGTTCAATTTCCCTTTTTTTCACTCTACTAAAAAACATGCTAACGTTTACAGCTTTAATTCATGGAATCCTATGTAACCTGTTTTTCGCTGAACATTAACGGTCTCTGGGGACCTAGCATAACGGTCAACTGGTCATTGGATTCCAAGAATTGCTTAAAGCTGACATGAACTCTTAAAAAGGCATCATTTTTCATCTTTGTACGACTTACTACATTCCTGTACGCCTTTGTCCGCCATATTTCTTCGATTCCGCCATATTTACTTGAAAATTTTTGGCCACCTGTACCTGTTATATAAAGCCTGGTGCATTTGTTTCACTTGAGTGATTTTCTAGCCTGGCTGTCGACATGTACACATCTCCGATAGCATAGTTGTCATAAATCCATAAACTGACCAAATATATGTTTTAAAAGTTAACAAAAACTAGAACTATACTGAGAAGTAAATTATTTTTGAATGCATTTGCTGCAATTTAGAAAAAATAACACGGAAAACAGCAAAAGCCGTTTGGATATGCACGCATGCAGGTCGAGAATACGCATCGAACGCAATGATAAAGATATTTACCTGAATACTGCTATCGTTACAGGGATGTGCACATGTCGAAAGAAATATCCTATTTTACTTTTATTGAAATATGCATCTCAGAATTCATGTAATCCATTGCTAACTGAACAGTAAAAAATTGTCACCACATAGCACTTGGACACACGTGGTCCACGACGATAGTCTATTTGGTCAGGGGAAATTTCAAAGGTGGAAAGCTTACTGGTATTTTGGTTGACTGAAAAAGTGCATTTTTTTTCAAAAATAAATATTACTCTTGTCTGTATATGTAAATGTAAACAAAATTTTTTAGTTATGGCATAATTACATTAAATTTATTTTATAGCATGCAACAATACGAATCATCCATCCTTTGACGAGATTCTCCCGTTAAAGGGGGGGGGGGGTAAAAAAAAATGCATAACGTTCTCTGAAAAAGATCGGATCTTTTTACGATCAAATATTTTCATTATAAATAATGTGTATTGGCTTTATTTATTTTTTTTTTTAAATAAAGACCTTATATAACTTGATTTAAACTTATTTTCAAAATTTTATACACAATAAACGAGTTTGATTCTATGGTACATGAATAATCAAAATAGAATTCAATGGCGGATCCAGAGATGGAGTGGGGTTCCAGGGATTGGAACCCCCGGCCTTTATTTTTGTACACACATACAGAGAGAGAGAGAGAGAGAGAGAGAGAGAGAGAGAGAGAGAGAGAGAGAGAGAGAGAGAGAGAGAGAGAGAATGTTTTTCTGTAATATAGAGTATAGATATTTATACGTCTAATAATATGAATAATTTGAAGAAATAAAAAAAATCTCTGTCCTTTCTCTAGATCTGTAGATTTTCGCGGATTTGCTTTCCTCCGCGTACCTTCAATCATTTTTCAATCAACTATTTGAATCTCTTCACCATTTTACAACAGTATACAAAAATCACAAAATATATAGGTGATTTTATACATAACAGTAGATCTATAAAGCATGTGTGAATAAGAAACGAAACCAAAAAATTGTACGTTGCTATAAATGTGAAGTATGGTAATTTAGGCGGGGGCATATTTTTTTTTCTTTATAAACGAGCACAATTTTCTCAGGAAACAGTGTTTATTGTTATTCATAATGTGTTTAAAATTAATTACATTCTGAAATTTTATGCTTTTTTTCTGTTAAGCATAGCATTCTTTCTGAAAGTAGCGAGCTGCACTTTAGTATTAATGAAACTCACCTCTGAGTTCTTTTAAATTACAATGGGGACAAATTCTATCTTGTCTTGGTAACCCTATCTAAGGGCTTCGACCACCCACAATTAACATGCAAGGAAGATTCCAGCGAACTTTTTCACCATTTTTGGACCATTTTCAGAAGTAACTAACTTTAAGAAGTATGCATGAAATATTTCGATTCGGTAAAGATAAAGGTTTAAAATGTTCCCGTAGTATGCAGATGAAGGGGGCAGGGGGGGGCTCACTTTTTCTGAGGATAATCTTTGCTGCAGTTTTAAAGAAATTAAAATTTTGATTTGGAAGCTCCCTCCACATGTTTTGTTTGCAGGAAAATACGCAGATTCAAGCATTCAAAAGTAATGTACTGAACAGAAAAGTTACAGGAAGCCTCCTTTATCCCCTACCAAAAAGGATTGTATAGAGTGTGGTGCTTAGTTTTTTTTTTTTTTTTTTTTTTTTTGTGTTTGTTTTGTTTTGTTGTTTTTTGTTTGTTTGTTTGTTTTTTTTTGCTTGTCAACTGATTTTGGAGGTCCCCCATCAATATAAAGTGAAGTGGCTGTGTTGTGATTCTATGCATGAGTGCCATGCCCCCCCCCCCCCCCTCCCCTGGGGTTTGCAAGGTTATTAAATTTATTTACTAAAGCAAGAAAAAAAGTTACGTAGGAACCCCCTCGGAAAACGCAGACTCCCTGGTAAACGCGAATTTGTGTTAAATTGGTATGAAAAGGCTAAGGTTTGAAGCATTAGAAGTCATCGGCTACCCCCCCCCCCCCCCGAAATAGGTTTTGAAGTTTGGGCGAGTTTACGGGGTTTTTTTTTGCATGTCAGGAAATATCTGGGTTGGATATAAATTATTAATAGTCGAAGCATATAGGAAGGGAAAGCAAACTGCCGATGAGAGTTCCACATTCTACCAAAAATTAGCTTTTTTATACCTCTTGTCTAAATAATTTTTATCCAGATTCCTTACCTGAGAAGGTACATGTATTTGAGAAAGTTCCCAATGTTCCCATTCCTATGATGTAGACTTCACGTTTACATGTATTTTCCTTTCAATTTCGGCGTTTAGGTTTATTTTCTTGTCAAAAGTAAAATTATTATTTCAATTTTTGAACAAGTTTCGACATCCCCGCTTGACAAAAAAAAATCTTTGATCTGTCCCAAGATCTAATATATGGTACAGTACAAAATAATATGATTTTATATCTATTATTGCGCTTACAGATGGTTACAGGAGGAGAGAGAGAGCGAGAGATTTCAATGAATAAAAGAGTAATCAAAAATTATCAGTATTCCACTCAATCTGATTAAAATCAGATCCTTTGATCCGCTCCCGTAGATCGCTACACAAAAGGGAGCGGATCAAAGGATCTGATTTTAATCAGATTGTATTCCACTAGGTTTCAAGTTTCCCTACCAAGGTTTTTAAAAGTATCTCCCAAATATTGCAACAGAAATTATTTTTATTTTTAAAAAAAACTAGACTGTCAGACAGGGATACTGAAATCTCGAAAGACTTCCTGTAATAATTATAAAACAGCCATATTCCGCAAAAATGTTCATACTTTGTGGTCGGAGTGAGACAATAAAAAATCTTCAAAAATGGAATTGGCAGAAATGTCTGTCTTCCAAGAATATTTAGGTAACGGCCATGTCAATTATTTCTGCCCCTCGCCCTTAAAATACAAATGCCTCAATGTCAGTCTAAAAGGGGGATGTTTTTTTCCGCGTGTGTGTTAAAGAACGTACAGATGCACACATAAACTTCTGTATTCTGGTTAAATTTATTTAAGTTTTGAACTAAATATTTACCGTATATCAAATTACTTGGTTTAGATTTGAGATTAGTACTAAAATAATCAGTTGTAATTGACAAATGAATTTTGCGATGCAAAACAACTGCAGACTATATAAAGAATGTTTATTAGAACTAGATAGACAATTTTCAGTTATACCTTATGAAGCCGTTATCATTATACTTTAGACCCCCCCCCCCCCATTTCAGCCGCGTAAATTCCACTCTTTTCCACTTGTGATATTTTCCCTGACCAAAATCTGATCAGCACGGACTAAGTGTATCGACGCGCTAGACTGTACGGAGTAGATACAGTGTGTTTATTGAGTTTTTATGGAGTTTATTTCTTTTTTGTGATGCATATTTCAATAAATGGAAATCAGGGTGTATTTCACTTGACTTGTGCACATTTCCGAACCGATGCAGTGACTTTATTACCAGGTATGGGTACGTTTACAGCGTTCGACGCGTTTTCTCGACATGCATCAAAGTCTGCATAAAACCTGCAAATCAAAGACGCTGATTGTTTTGTTCCATTCAAATGATAATAATTTCAAAGTGTGCTTACGGGTTTTAGTGCTTTTTATTTCATGTTTATTCTGCATAAATTGGCGCAGTGTAAAAATGCGTACTCGTGCAACTAAACCTTTCTTTCAAACTTGCATTTTCTTTCTTTTTTTTATTACATTTGATTCAAATCTATAATTATTCAGAAATATGATTATTATGTTGTGTGGTTTTGAAATGTCTTGATCAACCCATGTGTTTTCAAATGTTTTACCATCGGAGATGTGCACAAGTCGATAGCCAAGCCAAAAAATCATTCAAGTGTAACGAGGGCATTCGGGTATATATCGTTACAATAAGACAAGGTATCTGAAAGAAATATGGCGGAATACGGCTATAGTTGGTATGAAACAAGTCGTACATAGATGAAAAAGTTGCGTTTTTAAGAATTCATGTCAGCTTTAAATTAAATAAACCAAAAAAGAATAATTAGTAAGCCTCGTAGGTCATAAAATCCTTTTATGTGAAGAGATGGGGGAGGGGATTCTAAATGCATTAATATGGAAGGATATACTAAGTAATTTTTTTGAAACAAAATGAGCATGAGGGACCAATCTTTTCTCCACTCAGCATTTTCATTCTTTATAAACAATGAAACATACGTACAGGGAAAAAGTTTTTAGTGAAGAAGAGGTATTCTCCAAAGGACATACACTGTACATGTACACAATACAGTGTATAGTGTGTATTTTAAAAAAATTAGTTGATATACTTCGTTAAATTGTATTGACTCCAAACTTGTTTTGATACGTATTTTCGTTTCAAATTAGGCAGTGCATTTTTTTATTCTCATGAGTAGATTCAACAAATGAACATCAGTGATTTCTTCAGGCAAATCTGCACTTTCTTACTGACACTGTAAGTGCATTTTAGGCAAATTTTATGACTCTGTCACCCTCCAGGATAATACTCAAACTGTGCAATACGTCACAGATAATAGTAATATCACGAATAAATAATGGTTCGATGTAAAATTGTCAGTAAATTTATTTCCTCGTTTCTGCACTTCTCATTTGATTTTTTTTTTTTATGATTAACGCTTCCTTATATTTTCCACATAAGACTGATTGACAAATTATAATTATCTTACGAGTACAAATTACAATAAAAATTTGATACTATTTGATCTGCGACTTGACCTCACTTGGTGCTTTATTCAACGGGTATCTATCATAAAGAATTATTCTATGTATACGTACAGTTTACAAGCTAGCATTTCTGGTTAATAATACATTAGAATATATATTATAATAAACAACACAAAATAAATATTCCATAGCCTGCCAAGATGTTTAAAAAAGAAATAAAGAAATAAGATTGAATGGTTTAAGTAAAATGATTGAACCTTTACCACAATTTGCTTTTTCTGGGCGTTTTCTCTTTTAAAATAATTACGAGTGCTAAACTGAATAAATATATAACATTGGAATATAAATAAACCTATAGATTAACAATCAAATGAATATCTGCATTATTATAAATCACTCAAGTTGTTTTCATTAGAAATCATCCTTTATACATACACTGTAAAAGGGTTTAATAAAAATAGGTCAATATTTCTTATCACTTAAAAATGGCGAACATCGCAGCTGTTCTACATGGAGCCAATGATTTACGAGTTGTAAGCATTTCATTTAAATAGAGTAATTGAATTATAGTATTTTCTCTCAATTACTGTAATATGTTGATAATTTATTATTGAAGATATGGTTAGGACACTTGAGGTACATATGTTTATATTCCATCATTTACGCGGTGATGGGTCAATTGGCTACCTGCCTTTAAATATCCGATTTGGAAATATTAAATAAATTTAGCATCGTCTAGTAGGTGGCTCTTTATAAAGCATTTATTTTAAACTGTACCACGATATTTTATTTTTTAAAGCAAATTAAAAAAAATACATATATTTTTTAAAGTTAATGTCTTTTTGTATTCTTTTAGGAAGCAATTCCTTTGCCTGAAATAAAAGAAAACGGTATGTCTCTTCATAAAGTATATGTTTTAGAAATTGTACAAACTAGAACATGCTTCTCTGTATCGAAGCAACTGAGAGATATTTACTCCGTATTCACATGATGAAGGTACATTGTTTCATATTAAGTAAGAGAAACTGACGATTGTAAAGTTAAAGTTATAACCTTTATCATAGAACTTGGTTGTTAGATTACCATTAACTTCCTTTTCAAGTAAAATATCCAAATATGAAACAGAATCTGTGGTATCTTTTATCTCAAACTCACCGAGATATATTGGGAAGGGAAATACCATTGTCACCCTTTTCGTTCTTTAATGGTCAATATTCATGTTCTGTTTCAATTTCTGTCAGTACAAAAAGTCTTCAAAAATGCTTAAATTATAGATTTTAAAATCATTAAACAAAATTTAGAGAAGCAATAAATATTCCTTAAATAAAAAAATGAGGAAAAAATTGGAGCTAACAAACAGTTATCAAACTCAAAAGTCACTTAAATCGGGGACAGAATAAAGGTAGGATCAGGTGCCGTAGATAAACAAGTATTCCCTATGACACGACTATGAAATAAAAATATCAGCGGTCTCGTTTAAAGTTATCATTTCCTAAACAATGACCTTGTCAGCAAATACAATTTATCATTGAGTCAAATGCTGATTGACGTTTTTCATACTTATTGTTAGTCTATTATTTATACATTGAATTGCCGACAGATTTTTCCGTTATTTCCCGATTATGAAAAGGACCACATGGCGGGTGTGACTGGTCGGCAGGGAATACTCACTCCTCCATGCCTCCTGATCCCACACCCGTCGTGAGCCCTATGCATTGGCCAGGTAGAGAGATCTTTCCGTGATCAACTTCCATGTAAAATCAGAACTACTACAATTGGCTTAAAAAAACGTCCAGAAAAGATTTTACTTCCTTGCGTGGTCATTATAAAAACACAATAGTATTTAAGAAATAATGACTTAAAACGAGGTTGCTAAGATGCTTGTAACCCAGTTCATCTCTCAGTGGTTTTTCGTGGTTTAAAAATCGAAAAAGATAGGAGATGTAAACACCATAGGCATGTGATAATGGGAAAGGAAATCTATAACTTCTGATTTTTTTGCTCTCAAAAAGGGCGAAAGATTAACAAGGAACAAGAATGCAGTTTGCTTGAAAACAGCTTATTCCTATTCACAGTTTCAGTTAAAAGTTTTCAAATTTATTTTCCCATTTTTTTTATTTTTACAAATATATTTAACTATTGCATTTCAAATCAACGTCAAAAAATTTAATTTATATTTCTGTTGGTGTGATAAATAACAGATTAAGAGCTCCAAACGTTTGTTATGAAAACAAGGCCCGTATCATGTTTTTGTTTACATAAGTTAAATATTCACAGATTTTTTAAATAAAGAAGTTAATTCTAAATACAATTAGACAGTTTCTAGGAATTTGTTGAATCTCGTTTTGTTATAGATGTGATATTTTCTATATGTAAACAAAAACAACGCACGAGCCTTGTTTACATAATTGAAGAATTTTGAGGTCTGTATCTCTTTCGTAAAACAATAAATGATGTTCAAATTTTTGCTGATCAATATAACTCATTAGAATAGATATTGTGAATATTAAAATTGGTTTTAAAAATCACATGAAACTTTGTCCATGTTGTTTAAATCCAGGTTAAAACACAATTTTCCATCAGAAAAATCTTTTAATACTTTTAAAACTTTTAATATCATTTGTACGTAGATAATATTCCTACAATAGAGCAAGCTAAATTTTGTTTTCAGAGTTCCTCTTATGTGTAAAATTGCATATTTACAAAAAATAGAGAAAAATAAACTCTCATGAATTTCTTATATCTCAATATAAAGGGCATTTATTATTTTTTCTTGAAGATTTTTAATTGGCCAGAATCCCGAGTCCTGTATATTTTAAAGAATTTTCTATTCCTGGGCTGTATTGTATTCATACTAATTGTTAGTCCATTATTTATACACTGATTTGACGACGGATTTTATCCGTTATTTCCCAATCATGACAAAGAAAACACGGTGGATGTGACCGATCAGCAGGGGATGCTCACTCCTCTATGGCAACTGATCCCAACTCTGATGTTTTGGAGGTCCGTGTTTGCTCTGCTTCTATTTTGTATTGTTTTATAGACTTTGAATACTGTTCGTTATATCCCCATCTCTTTTTAAGTGCTGTATCTAAAAAAAATGTTCATGGTCTGTATTATATAAGTATCTCGAAAACCTTTTGTACAGAAGTCCTCCTATCCATGAGGTCGGTGGGTATCTGCGGATCAGACCTGAAGTACTGGATGTATGGCAAGTGTGGAAAGTTTACCCTGGAGAAACCCATGATCATGGGCCACGAGGGCAGCGGAATGGTGGTCAAGATTGGAGCAGGGGTCACACATCTCAAGATAGGTAGAACTATCGCTGAAAGGTTTCCGACCTAATCAATGCTTAATCAATCAATCAATCAGTTCACAAAATAGAAAAAGGCGATCAGGCCTAAAGCAAGGGCCAAACATCTCAAGATAGTAGAACTATGGCTGAAAACTAGTCGATTCGGCGTTAATCAATGCTCAATCAATTTAATTAATAAATCAATCAATCAATCACTCAAAATTTGAGGACAGCCGGGAGCAGGGGTCAAACATCTTAAGATAAGTAGGAGTTCTCAAATTTTTTAGTTTGCGGTCCTCATGAGATAGATAGGAGCTTTGAAGACTTTGTATAATATATCTTAAATGATTTTTTATGATATACATCAAAGGTAAAACCTTTTCTTTTTTGGAAAGCACATAATGTTAAGTTTTAAAAAGTCTCTTGTTTCTCATTCTAACTTAAAGGCATTAGAGCGGATAATGAATCATTTTATAAGTGCAACCGTCATTTATGCCTTTTTTATCATAAAAAAAAATTTTAAACAAAAAACAAGTATCATTTTTATTAAACTACTGTGATTAGGTTAGATTCAAAATTTTGTAATATTTATTTTAATTTACATTTTACTTAAAATCATTAAAACTGTGCAAGATAACATCCCTATTTTCATTGTACATTATTTATTTATTTTCTATGAATTTGGAACTCATGGAAAGATAGAATAAGAATGCATGTTACTGTATCAAAATACTATAGATATTCTGTAAAGTTATGATCACATAAATAGGAAAGATTTTGACAGCTGTCATGAATTAAGGTCCAAGGTAATATTTTTATCAATTGCTGGCACTTTCTTAGATTAAAATTGAACCACAAATATTTTATATACGAGAAACGGGTTTTTTGAATGACTTTTATTTTTTTCGCGCTATAAATGAAAGATCCAATGTTTGTTTCACTTCAGTAGAAAAAAATAAAGGGTGATTTTGAGAAATTAGATGAGATTAGCATTTATGAAAAAAGATTTCAAGCTTTGTAAAAGTTCTTACGACCTTATAATCTACAATACCGTGTTTGATAACTTTGAAGAAATGTAGATGACGTAAGATAAAATACAGAATGATTAACCTTCTGGAGTCTCCATCATTAAAATTCTGATTCCAGAGTGAACTATAAATAGCTAGCCTGTAAAAGGTAGCCAGGTGGCTACTTTTATTTTCTACTCATTATATATTACAAAGATATTGTTAAATGAACTCTCCCTCAGTTTAATTCTTGTCACGTGCATTGAACTTTTAAAAATGTTTATAAATTTATGTGATCTTATAATAGATTCGTAGACATTAAAGGAGATTAATTGAAACATAAATGAGCTAATGCAAAAAAGAATATTCTCTAATTATTGTAAATAGATACATTTTCAATTTCATTAATCATTAATTTAAGTTTACTTATGTCAAATACTGTCGTTAACAGTTGCTTTCTTAAACGTTTCATGTCAAATTGAAATCATGTGCTTACGCATTATCTTGTCTTAAAATATTGTTTTAAAAGCTGGTTTAGACTTAGATTATTAAGTTTGAAAAAAAATTATAATTTTTGTAATATTTGCAACAAAAACCTAATGAAAAAAATTCTAAATGTAGTCTTTCATTTCGTAAGTTCTATGATCGATACGATGGCTTTGTCAGCAAACACGATTTATCATTTTAAAAGTAAAATGCTGATTGACGTTTATCAATTCATTCTAAGCCAATATTTACATACTGAATTGTCAATGGATTTTTCCGTTACTTCCCATGAATGACAATGAGCACACGGCGGGTGTAACCGGTCAGCAACCGGATGCTAACTCCTCCATGGCACCTGATCCCAACTCTGATGTTTTGAAGGTCCGTGTTTGCTCTGCTCCTATTTTGTATTGTTAAATGGACTTTTGATCTTGAATACTGTTCGTTTTCTTCATATATTTCTTGTTAACATGTAAGCGTTATTGACATGGGTTAAAAAGGTTTACCAGATATTTCAATTCTTGCTTCAGTTTTTGAAGCGTCCGGTTACAACTTTTGGACACTGAATTATCTTGATTGTTTAAAATCCGTAGACAGTTTCGTATGAAGGGAATGGCTATCAAGGTAATTATGACCACCATAGATTTTTTGAAATGCTGATCTCGAACAAGATGGTTGAAATCCCCGCAACATCCAATTTATCAGTGGCCTGCCTCGCATACAAATTATTCGTAATCGGAGCAAGTTCTTAAGTAACGAATAGGTTGGGAGACATAAGTGCCATACCGGATGATAGTGTAACTTTACTACATAAAGAAGGACATTTGTCTCGTTTTTAATTAGTTGTCTTCAACATCTATATTTAGTAAAATAACAATATAATGCAGATGTGGCAGTCTCTGCGATGTCTTTAATATCAAACATCGATTTATCGATGCTTGAGAAAATGATGATTTAAAAATGTGTTAACATTTTGTGTAATGGAAAAATAATGTTTTCTGCAAAGTTTTAATTAAAAAGCCCTTGTATTTAAAAAAGAAATTAATCAAGATCTGAAAATTAAGCATTGCAGCCTTTTCAAGATTATTTATTAAGGAAATGCATTAAAAAGAAGACACACATGTCCACGGGAAATCATAGAAGATAACGCGTGCAGCCTTTTGACTACGATTCTTGATAAAAGGTTAATATCTGTCATTATTAGTTTATAATTTATACCGGTTGCTTTAAAGATTGAAGTCAGTAGCTTACGACGTTAACTTTGACAATCATGTTAAAGCGAACTGTTTTTCCAAGGAAAATTTGTTGTTTTTCTTGACGTCATTTTTGTTTATCAACCAAAAGAGAAGCAACGATGCCAGGTAATACATTAATTAAAAAGGCCACATTACTTTCATAGTAGTAAAATAATTATAATTTTACATCTTTATAAGACATTTTAGTTCAATTGTATAATTAACAGCATTTTTGTAATATTTCATTCAGAAATTTCTAACTAAATTTCTTATTGATCCAAAAAATAGAAAATATATCTCTAACTGACAAGGTATTAGTGTTGACCATAAAACTTTCGAAACGTTGCTTTTATAAGGGATCGTTGTACCATCCACCTATTTGTCTAAGCTTCTATAGTTTTAGATGTTTTCATACGAATAGCATAATATTGCGTATGGAATTAAGTTGGAAAACATCTCAATGCATATATACAATTAATAAATATATTTTGCTATATAAATCAGGGAAATTGGTGACAAAAAAATCTGAACTTATCACGTTTTTGAATAAAGTTTTGTTGTATGTTATCATGGATATCTTTTTTCGTCCAATATCTATCATGAATCAGATATTACACTCTCTATTGTGTTTAAATTCTCCAATATGAAGGGGTTTATAGAATCAAAGTATGCAGGAAATTGATTAATGTAAATTGTTAAAAGTTATGCATTTGATAATATATTAGGATCATTTGTTATTAAAATTTTCTTAAAGTTCTTTCTATGATTGTGAAATTGACTCATATGTAAACATGCAAAAATCGCCTTCATATAAGACATAAAAAGTGTAGATTTTAAAAATCTATAGAAATAAAATACACAGTTATACTATGATCTTTTAAAGCAATAAAAACTCTTTTGATTGGTAACATTGTAATAGAAAAGATTTCATTTTAACAATGCTATACGTTTTTATAAGGCCTGCCCCATGCACTCCCTTGTTAGTATGATGTGAACTTTTTCATAACATCAGAAGAGTTATTCTCCTTTGAATACGTTTGATTTGTGAATGAAACGAGCACTGGTTGCTATTTATTGTACTTTGTAAATTTAAAGCTTAATCTTTCAGCCCACACTTAAGAAAAAAGACTTTAATCATTTTTTATATTCTCATTGTTGTTTGCAAAAATAATTGTAGAAAATTAAACAACTCTAAACCAGAGATTAATAAACGTCTAAACTAAGGTATGATTTACATCCATGAGATATATTGAGATAACGAACAGTATAAGACCATAAAAGCACATTAATGACTCAAATATAGTTTCAAATATAAAGCAATTTTTTTTCTAAAAATCTCAATAAGTAAGAAAGCTTAATTTTTGGAAAAAAATATATGGAGATGTTTGAATGTTTTACTAGAAATGAAACATATATACAGATAACGAACAGTATTCAAGATCAAAAATCCATAAAACAATACAAAACAGAGGCAGAGCAAACACGGACCCCCAAACATCGGAGGTGGGACCAGGTGAAATGGAGGAGTGAGCATCTCCTGCCAGCCGGTCACACCCGCCGTGTGCTCCTTGTCATGATTGGGAAATAACGGAAAAATTCGTCGTCAATTCAGTGTATAAATAATGGATTAACAATTAGTATGAAAAATGTCAGCAAGCTTTAGACTCAATGATAAATTGTATTTGCTGACAAGATCATTGTATCGACCATAAACTTACGAAATGAGTACTTTAAATGAGACAGTTGATATTCTTTTTTCAACAACTTTTTGTCAATAATTTTCCTCGGTTTAGAAATTGTTCATACGTAGCGCATGCTCTTGCGTATCGAATCAACTGAGATATATAAACTCTGTGTGCAGGTGATGATAGTATATTGCTGCACAAATAAGCAAGGTTGACGATGGAAAAGTTGAAGTCATCACGTTTATCACAGAACTTGGTTGTTAGATTACCATTAACGTCTTTTACAAGATAAATATCAAAACAATGAAACATATGTGTCAGACTCTATGTTATATAATTATAAAAGGGGATCACGGTGTTATTGGTCGGTCAACATGACATGCTTACTCCTCTCCGGCACTCGGTTCCACCTTTGGATTTCCAGTTGTCCAGCTTTATATCTTTTTCGCCTATTTGTCTAGATATGTTTATAGGGTTTTTGAGGTAGATCAAGGTTTATCTTCTCCTTAATCAGGTAAATGTGTTGATTTATTCACTTCACATCTTTATTTTTGACAAGATACTATGCACCATATAACATACCTTTTCTTATGTTATTATTGCCAACATCATGGAATGCAATTAGGAAACAACGATATTCAATAAACATGACGTTATGAATAGCAAAATACTCTGCTGGTATATTTTCTATGATCTTCACTTATGCATAATTAAATATACCAGCAGAGCAATTGCAGTTTCAAAGCCATTTTCATTGAATAACGTTGTTTTTCCTAAATAAGTATATAAACGGTAAAAGGATCATGCCTTTTCCTTGTGACATATGTTTTAGGTGATCGAGTCGCAATAGAACCGGGAGTGCCTTGCGGAGTGTGTCGATTGTGTAAATCGGGGCGATACAATTTATGTCAGAGTATTTTCTTCTGTGCAACACCCCCTGACGACGGAAATCTGTGTCAATTTTACAAACACCCAGCTGAATTCTGCTTTCGGTACCACAAATATTAAATACAAAAAAATATTAAATAGATATGAAAGACTTATGGAGGTCATGATAAGCACATGTTAGTATGTGTGTTTTGTTATCGATTGTCATACAAAAACGAAAGTACAATAACTAATACATTAAGAATTATAATTGTAAGTTGACATTATCTCTAAAAAGAAAGAAACAATGTGGAATTTATACTCACAGACTACCAGATCACGTGACTGATGACGAAGGCGCTATGTTAGAGCCCTTAGCAGTTGCTGTGTACAGCTGTCGTAGAGGAAATGTAGGGCTGGGTACCAGACTTCTCATTTGCGGTGCCGGTATGTAAAGAGAACCAGATGGGAGGCCCTGCTGATATACGAGGGTTGATCCAAAAGTTCGTGGAATTTCTTTCTAAAATATAACCGTGATTTGACGAAAGCCAACAGCAGGCATATTTATAATATAGAGTCATAATGAAACAATATTGCAAAATTTCGCCACTTTCCAATCACCAATAATGTCACACCAGCTTTCTGAAAATGGATTGTTATGAAACCCGGGGGAGACTTTGACGTTACGTCAAGTTTGATATGTCACGCCACGTTATAAAAGCATCTCACCCTAATGTTCCATTCGAAAACGCAATTCTGCAAAATACTGCAAGAAAAGCCTGGGTATCCGCTCGCACCAACTTATCTTCATTTTTAACTCATATTTCAAAATACTTCCAATCTTTCCCCATGCTATTCTAATTTCAGTAGCAAATGTCAAAAAAAAAACGTCCATTAACGTTTTTAACAGGGGGCTCCAAAAGGCCGCCACACCTTTAATCAATGTGAAAATTTCTTATGGAAAACTAGTAACTATATACAAGCCTATGGAATAATATATGCGTTGAAAAAACAAATATTATGATTTGCCTGAAATTTGGCGTAACAACTTAAAGATGAACAATAAGTCATCAACTATTAAATTAAATATCCAATAAAATCAGTAAAACCCTCACACAAACGTTTATAAAAGATCAAGCAATTGTAATAATGACATAATTTTCGTTTTATATACCACATAGGGCTGTTTTATTCTAATATCACGTATTAAGAATTGAAATGAAAATAAACGCGTTAATGTCTCCCCCGCATTTCCAAACAACCGTTTCTATGGCAACTGCCATAGAGCTGCTTTCATAAATATTTAAAATGTTTTTTAATTTAAAATATTCAACAATTGTGTATATTCTCATTTGTAATTTTCAAACAATTTCACTTAAAAATGAATAAAATATAAAGAAATTCCACGAACTTTTGGATCAACCCTCGTACATGTTATTCAGAGTTGAAAAATATTTTAAGCATTTGCTGAAGAACTTGCAGCTTTGTTCTTCAACAATTAAAAAAAAACCACAGCTGGTGAAAAATAAAAAAAGAGGAAAACATAATTGAAAAACATATCCACGTAAACTTGGGACTGATGTTTGAATTGGTTTTATATCATTCTTTCACAGCGTTTTATTTCTAAATGCAACGATTAAAATACCGGTATCTTATATTTACAATGCCTTTTAAAAGCCAAGCTTTAAAAATTGAGAAATAATTAAAATGTTTATGTTTTAATTTCCTAGTATTTAAATCAAGATAGTTGTTTCAAGCATAAAAGTTAATAACCTGAAAAAATTTTGAGCTCAAGATCTATATGATACAATTCCAATACAAGTCACAAGCATTAGATTGTAACAATATTATCAAAAGTTACATTTAAAATACCTAATAAGGAATGAATTTAATAGCTACCAAATATATACTGTATAACCTTGACTAGAACAGTTTAGGCTTTATTAACCACGAGGCAATTTATTAAAAAGGATAAAGGGTCAAAGCCAATGTTATACCAGTATGATTTTGATATCTATTAAATTTTTTTTTAATGATTTTCTTTCCCATCATTAAGTTTAGACAATTAGACATTTTTTCGTCCAAAGATGCTTACAAATTGAGCATATTCTAAAAAATTAACACCAAGCGAAATAATACGTTCTTGACGTAATTAATTGTGACGTAGGCAACGTTATGTTATGCAATATAGACTAAATTTTGTATCCAATTAGATGAAGTGTAACTACCAAAATTGAGAAAAATTAAAGTGTAAGATATATTTTCCTAAATAAGAATGTTTGGAAAATAGTGATTGAGGTTTATTTGTGTATTCTATGAATATGAAGGAATTGCAGTGGCTTAAGAAGAATGGTTTTTATTAACATAAATCTTCATTTCAATTTAAAAAAAATAAAATTTCGATATTTGAATTAAAATCTAAAAAAGAATTTCTTCTGCTGTATTTTCAGGGCAAGTATAAAATATAATTCAATTTTTTTAAACATAATAATTTATGCTTTTTGTGTAAATATGACAAGAAAAGATACAAAATATGTATTTTTATGAACAAAAATTGGAATTGTAATATTCTTTGATTTTTCAGGTCCAGTTGGAATTCTTACCATGCTGGTTGCAAAACAAAATGGCGCCACAACCATTGTTATTACAGGTACATCTTGCAATATTTTACGCTGGAAGTTCTGCTTTGACATAGGTATCTGATATTACAAGACTGCTTCATGTCTGGCGTTTCTTCTGCAGATGTGGACGACACGAGGCTAGCTTTAGCTAAATCCCTGGGTGCCGATTACCCTATTAGAGTGATGACGAATGACCCATCCAAGCTAGCGACAGAAATTCTAGATACCATAGGGGACTTCCCAGACGTCACTATTGAGTGTTGTGGGACAAATTTTGGATTCTCTACAGGAATTTACGTAAGATTCCTAATAAAGGAAAAGAATTTAAATAAAATTCTTTGGTATAAAATCCGTTTGAAATCAAAACTTTTTTTAGATGCAACATAAAATGTTGTCCAAAAAATGATGAATCATTCTATCTGCAGCAGTTAACGATATTTACGCTATAATTACCATATTTCGTAGAAAATGAAGTCAAATATTTTGCATCTTTCACAATTTTCAGTATAAATTTTATATTTTCCGTAATAATATTACAAATCAATTATCATAAAATTCAAATTAACATTTTGGTTCTCGAGTGAATATTGGGCTGTAAAATTCTTTCAGTCATAAAAAGAACTAAATTTGAATTCCCTTTGCTTTATTATTGATTTACTAAAGAAAAACCCACTTTTTCACTAGCTTTGTTAAGATAATAAAATCTGAAATCTTGTTTAGACAATAGGGAGGCGTACCCTCATCAAAAACACGAAAGGTGTATGTCCTTTTGTCTTCCCAATAATATCTATAAGTATAATGGCGAATAAAAACATGCTCGGGTTATACAATTTCATATGAACAGTTCAATTGTCAGACAATAAATGAAAAGAATCCTATTGGATAACTCTGTCAATATTTTTTTAATTTAAAAATGCAATATCTCTGAAACATTATTTGGAATTTCAGAAATTGTAATTTTTAACACGATATTTATAGTTTTTCTATTCTTATATCACCAATTTAAAAACTTACGGTGTTTTTTCTTTTTTGTGTGTCGTTATCTTAGAGCTGATGGAGTCATTTTTCGGGGAAAAGAATATTTTATTTTAATGACAAGTCTAACACAGAAAAAATATTATTCTTTTATTAATTGTAAAGCAACGGAATGCAATCAAATCTCTTAAAGTCAATATTTCTGTTAATTTTGAATTATTCTTTAACCCAAAATACTGTATTTGATTTACTTTGCTTATTCTTCAATTTAAATTTCTTTTCTCTCCGGTCATACGTTTACGCTATAATAGACTTAGGCGAGACATGGTTTCCAAGCTGATTCGTGACTAACAAAATAGAATAATTGGCCAAGAAACATATCAAAAAATATATTGGCATAGTTGTTAGCATGACGATGGTGTTAATATATCAGTTGACATTTCACCATTTCAACAATACAACCTAGATATATATAAACAAATTTTGACGATAAAATATCTTCTTAATTTCGATGTGAAATTCAACATAAATACAACATTATATTTCAAACAATAAATGACATAAACCAGTGAACATAAAATCCAAAAAAGCAGGTTTCAATTGCTCCTTGCCTCTTTTTATCGGCCCTATCTTTTCGATCTGGATGATCAAGTCTGAATTCTGTCTTCTCTAATATATTTTTCTCTTGGTTGGTTGTTTTTGAAGTGAGATCTGGTTCTGCTTGTGTTGTCAGGCGAGCAGCCCCGGCGGATCTCTGGTCATGGTTGGTCGGGTCCCAGGCGGCCAAGAGTTCCCCCTAAATTTGGCGTTCACCAGAGAGATAGACATCAGAGGAGTATTTAGATATGCTAATTGGTAAGCGATTTGTTAAATTTAACTCTCCAAATATTCATTGTTGCGTTTTATTTGCATAAACAGTGAGATGTATGGAGGGATAAACTACTTATCGGGGCTAAACATCTTGTAATATGAAGAAAATCAAATTACCTGTTTATGTGTCTTTTTGAGATTTAAACGTTGAACGATTGAGATAAGAGCCGTGTTCAGAACATCCTTTGATTATAGTGTTTTGAGAATTCAAAATTTATGTACATTTTTAATGTTCCAGAGAAAATTGTTTTATTGCTAAAATATTTTAGCATGCTGTATTCTTTAATCCTACAAATTGGTTTCTTATCATTTATGCAGATGTAAAGTAGAAAGTCAGTAAATATTATCAATTAAATATATATGACATGACAGACAGGAAACCTTATGTAGAAATGCCTGGAAAAAATTTGGGAAAAAGAATTGATTATGGATGCAATTACCAAATTCGGGATTTAGAAAAAAAAAAGAAATAAGAAATAACAGAATATTAAATGTGGTTTAATTATGCAATGAAGTGATTAAAATAATCATATTTTAAAATTTAAACGGTTTAATAGATTAATACAATAGTCACTACATATATAAAAGGTTTCTTTTAAAATCAACATGCATTTTTGTGAAAAAAATCTAATATCATTTTTTCAAATTCTCATAATGCATAAAGTTTGGTGAATTAATAAAACATATTATTTTCAAGCGAGTGCTTTCAGACGTAAACTAAACAGAATTCTGATTATTATTTTGCTTCTTTGCATGTATTTATTGTGATATGTTATTTTTAGTTAGGTTTTATCATAGTGCATTCTTTTTTAAGACAATGTCCTTTTTATTTGGGTAGGGTTCTATTCATTTTGACAATTAGATGTCAATATTTATTTAAGTTGTATGGAAGGGCTATATTTATTTTGTCCAAAATATTTATTTTCATCATATGATACAAATATTTATCTTGGTTGTATGTTAGGCTCTATTTATTTTGATCATGTGATATATTTTCATTTAGGTTGAATGGTAGGGATTTATTTATTTCGACAATGTGGTATATATTTATATCTGTTTTTTGGCAGGGTTCTATTTATTTTGACCATTTGATATAAATACTAATTTAGGTTGTATGGTAGGGGTCTATTCATTTTGACCATGTGATACAAATATTTAATTTAGGTCGTACGGTTGGGCTTAATTTATTTTGACGATGTGATATTAATATACATCTAAATTGTATGGTAGGGCTCTATTTATTTTGACCCTATGATATATATACGGTTGGGCTTAATTTATTTGATATATGTTTATTTAGGTTGATGTGATATTAATATATATCTAAATTGTATGGTAGGGCTCTATTTATTTTGACCCTATGATATATATATTAATATTCATTTAGGTTGTATGGTAGGGCTCTATTTATTTTGAACATATGATATATGTTTATTTAGGTTGTATGGTAGGGATCTATTTGATCATGTGATTTAAATTTTACTTTATGTTATATGGCATGGCTCTATTTATTTTGACCATATGATATTAATAGTTATGTAGGTTGTATGGTAGGTCTTTATTTTGACCGTGTGATATATGTTAATTTAGTTTATGGTAGGGCTCTATTAATTTTGATCATGTGATATAAATATTTATCTTGTTAGTATTGTAGGGATCTATTTATTTTCACTATTTCTTTTTTTCTGCTGCGTAGAAGTGTATTCTTTAAGCAATTTTATCCTATCAATAATACCCCCCGCTTGAAAAAGTGGGAGGGTATATAGTGATCGGGATGTACGTCCGTCTGTCTGTCCGTCCGTCCGTCTGCTTTGGGGTATCCATCTATTATCCGCTACTCATCTTATACCACTGTATAAAATTCTATGAGACTTTCACAGAATTTTGTTACATAGTGCCATTGTGACCACCTATTTCACTTTTTGATCGGACACATATTTCGGGTTTCCCAAAGCAAAACTTTGACACTGCGATTCTTTCTATAATATTGAAGTGTATCCATCTCTTATCCGCAACCCATCCTGTACCACTGAATGAAATTTAATGATACTTTCACATATTCTTTATTACATAGTGCCATTGCGCACATCCTATTTTACTGTTTGATCGGATATATACTGGGTCTCCGGGAGCGAAACACGGACTTTGCCATTATAACCGGCAGGGTATCATTTAGTGAGCTCAGTGCTCACAGTACCTCTAGTTTAAATTGTAAAGATGGGCTTTGTTTATAAAGACCGTATTCTATATTTTTTAAGTTGTATAGAATATGAACATGTTCCTCCTTTTTAAGTTGTATGGTTGTGCATTCTTAAATGCAACGATATCAATCATATTTAAGTTGTCTAGAAATCTCTACTTACTATTACAATGTGCTGTATAGAAGTGCCCTCTTTTTTATTCTAACAAGTCCATTCAAAGCATCTTGTTTGATTCGTTTCCTCTCTGCCTCAATTTAGTTGCAAACATATTCATTCATTCATATATATACATATAAAGAATCTTGCTCTCTTTATTTTCAGTTACCCAACTGCACTAGATCTTGTATCAAAAGGCCTTATAAACGTGAAGACCTTAATTACTCACCGCTTTTCCATAGAGGAAACCCTAAAAGCTTTTGAAACTGCATCATCACGTGATTCAAAAGCTGTTAAAGTTATCATTCAATGTGACAAGAATTAAAGGTATAGAAAAAGTGTCGGAAAATTAAAAGCAAATAAATTATATATTCTTCCAAATCAACTTTTCTATTTTTATTTAACAAACAGAAGATCATGGTCAAAAATAACTCAAAATGTTTTAACAAAAACACTGAGGATCCCAAAAGCAAATTATGTGTAACTAAATTTAATTAAAAGTGCATTCAAAACAAATTATCGTTAATTTAATTGAAAAGCACACAAGTTAAAAATTAATGTTCTATTTCTGTTATTTCTTTGTCACTGTTTTACCGTTTCGTTCTGAAAGAAAACAGCAACTTCATTCAAATTCAATAAAACCCGCAACCAAGACTGGCAGATTTCTTTAAAAATTATTTTAATTTGAATATCTATAGAATAAAAGAATTAATCGTTTAGGCAATTTAAGATTCGTGGTACGATATGATTTCAAGCGTGTATTTTTCAATTTGATGATAAGATTTAATATTTAAGCACAGTGGTTCAGTACCATTTTTGCTGATTAGCAATTGATATTGGTTTCTCTTGTGTTTCGCTCTCAGATGTTGGCATTTTATGTATATTTCCTATGTCTGATAAATACATTCCGGATATGGTCGGGCGAGTCATCAGATCTAGCGAACTGTAATTGGTAGAGATACAAAAACTCGGGTTAACAGAAATTAAACGTTTTTAGTATCGCAACGCGGAGATTCTCATCTAGAAATCTCTTTTGTGCTTTTTATAACCACCAAAGCGAACAGCAAAATTAGTCAAAGCCATTTTTCTTGACAATACCTTAATAACCACTAGAATTTGTTTGATGTTATGAAAGATCTTATCTTGGCTTGTATAGGTACGTTTTCTTGAATAAAAGACAAGATTATTTTAGATATATACCGATGATAAGAGATACAACTTAATAGGTAATTGTGCATAACACATTGACTGAACTCACCTTCATACTCGCCCGAAAGGACAGGTGGACGTGTGGAAATTCGGCGGCATATGCTCCACTAAATCTTTCATTCTTTAATATCAGTTGAAACCGATAAGATGAGATGTGGGCTTTTAATAAACAGCAGTCCCTTCTTTTCAAAATATGTTCAAAGAAATTATAATTTTCGAAGACAAAATTTCTTTATCACCTTAGAACACAATCTGTCCACAAATCAGATACCCATTGAAGCCTTTCTTTTTAACTAAGATTTTCTATTAGTTAATTCTATCAAGAGTTCTTAATTGACTTGGAAACAGAAAAAAACGGCTTTTCTATCCATTATTACTTTTATTGTTTTGTCGCTCTGAAATGTTGAATAGTAATTGGTTCTCTCAAGATGTCCATCTAAATAAGTATCTGCCATTATTTATCATTGTTGTTGTCGTACATATTAAAAAAAGCAAAAACATACGTATTCCTTGTTTCATTTGCCATAAAACATTCAGGAGAATTAATCAATACATCTTTGAAAAAAAATTTTAACAGTTAAAAAAGTGCAGTGATTTTTCTTTGATAAGATTAAGGCATTTACATTTCTTTGAAATTAGTTATCTAAATGAATTTATCAAGTTATATAGATTTCATTTTTAGTCAGTCTTATAACTATTGCAATATTTTAATACATCTAAAAATAATCGAAATTATTACTTGGACATCTAATTAATTATATCATTAAAAAAACACAAAAAAACGCAAATAACAGCAACACAGAAATGAACACGTTAATTTCACAACTGTAAAAATTCAAAAATGTATATATTGATTTAAAAAAAAACAAATTGTTATATGATTTATATATTTAATTGAATAATATGATTTTTGTTTTCATTTCACCCTCACTAATATTTTAATTTGAAGAAAATTTTCAATGAAAAAATTTGTAATTATTTTATATTCCTTCAGTTGCCAAATAGTAACGAATTATATTATTTACGAGCTCTCTTTTTCTCTCGTCCCGTGGAACTGAAGGAGTATATGTTTCTTTCTGGTTTTTTTTTTTAAATAATCATTTTATTATTTAACTCGCTCATTTTGCATCAATACAAAGGTATGTCTGTTCTGTGTGTTTCTCTATAATTTTAAACACAAATTTTGAAAAATTTAAAGAGGTCTTAGGAAGAAAAGAGAGAAAAAGATATAATTTTAAATTTTTTGATAATTTTTAAGAACTAAAAAAAAAATAGAAAACATTTTATATAAAAATGGGTTATAAATAAAGCATACTAGTACATGAAGTAAAAATATAAACAAGTACCTCGGAAATATTAATATGATGAAATCGGAGTAAGATTGGGTAAATAAACTTCAATCTATATTAAACGAATATTCCAATGAGCCACTTTCATTGGTATATTTAATATATGACCTAATGAGCTTTGACGTCTCTAGCAGACAAATCGATCGCGGCCTGCAATCTTCCGGAAATCTACATTGGTAGGAAACATCAATATGAGTTACAATGCAAGCAGAGTGCGAAATGATTCATATTGATATCCCTCAGCTTTATTCTTATATTTTTTTTTATTTTTTTATTATATCATTTTTATTTATTTAACTTATTTATTCCATTTTATTTAGTGATTAATTAATTCATTGATTGATTAATTGATCAATTTTTCTTTATAGTTTTTTTTTTAAAAAATTTATAGCTTTTTTTTTTATTTATTTCCCTAAAAATATTTTTTTTATTTGTGAAACATATAGATAAACGAACAGTATTCAAGATCAAAAGTCCATTAAACAATACAAAATAGGAGCAGAGCAAACACGGACCTCTAAAACATCAAATGTGCAACATGGACACGGGAATCAGAAGTTTCTACATTCTAAATTCAAAAATAATTCTCATAAATACTTTGACCTTTATTTCTTATTGATTCTTGAATAAATTGATCTAAATAAATAATAATAAGAAAGTAGGTAAACAAAAGCTTTTTATTGATGAAAGACATTAATCTTGGACTTACAATTATTTGCCACTAAAATTATTTATTTTGCTTTCCCTCCTTCACCTTTTTTTTAAAGAAGTCTTTTGATTTTACAATCTTTATTTTTTTTTTTCAGAATTGCTGCATTTTTTCGGTTTTGACTTTTCTTAAACCCCAAAAACTGTCAACTTTTGTACCAATAAAGATACAGAACATATATTTATATGATTGAACCCTTTAACAAACACCCCATACCTTTTTCTCAGAAATTAAAAAGTGCAGTAAAGAATATCCCTTTTTTGCTTGATCATGAAATTTTTTTATGATTATTGATTTCTTTTAAGCAAACTTTTTGGGAATATCTTAAGATTTAAGAGATCGAACTTGGAACATAGTTATTTATATGCATATTATTAAAGCTATAATAAAGATTTTAATGGTTATACTCATATGTTTAAGGGCAATATCAGGTTACTTAATAATATAAAACTGATTTACCTCCTCTTGTTGTGGAAGGTTAAAAATAAAATAAAATCTACCCACATTGTGACAACAATTATTTATAAGAATATGTTTTTTAAGTATAAAGACAGATTTAGTATATTTATTTAAATAATATATTCTTTTTAAAAAAATGACATTTTTTTGGCTTTATTTGCAGATAAAACAATTAAATTTTTAAAAATCATCTATTAAGGTAGGATTCTTCTCATATTTCTTGTATTTAAAAGTTAATGAAATTTTCTCAGAATCAAGAAGACAACATCATAAAGTGATAGTATCAGTGAGATTAAGTTTGACCATTTTATATTAGAGACAAGGTCAGGTCAAGGTCATTATCTTTTTCCTTGACATTAAGAATAAAAAAATACTGTTTCCAATCTTGTGATGCTACTTCTATTTCAAAACTTTAAAGATTGTTCTTTTTGCCTAAAAAGATAATACTACTATATTGGGTCTATAGTATGATATTACCAAATTTACATAAAGAATTTCACTAAACTGGATATTGGCTAATCCGAATTTTTTCTGTTTTTCTTAATTTTTTTAGGATATATTACTTAATTTTCATATGCTTCCTATATTTAACTTTTTCTTATTTTCATATATAATAAAGTAGTATTATAAATGTACAAAATGATACAAAAATAAAAGGTTTTGATCGTTTACTTAGAGAGAAAAAAAAATACTTTTTACGGATTTTTGGCTTAAATATGCACTTTGATAGGAAGCGTTTAATATATAGCTAACAAGTTTTAGTTTGTTTGAAAAATCATATTTATTTGATATATTTTGAAAGTTTAGTCCCTTATTTAATTTTCATTTGAAAATTTCTCAAAGTCTTCGATTGTTTAAGAATTATAACTAAATTCATTGTTCTATTATAATTTTGAGAGGCAGAAAAGAAGATATTTTCATACGCCACAATTCCACCAAAAATATAGTCCCTGCTAGTCTTCAAGTTGTACAATTGTGATGAGGAGAGAAAAATGTGGTCTTTTAAACCCCTTACACCTAAATATATATGACATATAAGCAAATATACTTTGAATGTTTCATCTAGTCAAAAACCAGAGAAGAATCCTACCTTAAGTATTCAAAAATTCGTTATTTGTGACATATATTCGCATAATTCGCATTTTCTGCTTTGCAATCCTTCTTCAAAAATTCTGGAACTTTCTTATGTTTGAGAGAAATTCAATTTGCAGACATGCTGTTATCCTTAATCTAATTGTCCATTGATAAATAGATTAGTGAATTATTAATGTACAAAGATGATTTTCGTACTTAAAATATCAATTTTTGCCAAAAATTGTCAAACGTATCGTTATAAGTTAACAATAAAAGATGCATAACGTTCAAAATGTCATCACATCGTTTTAAGGTACAATTAATATATAGTGCTTTTCACAAATTTTGTCAATCCTAGATTTGTTAAACCATTAGATTTACAGATTGTTTATCGGTTATTTTGTTTAAATTTTAATCAACTGTTTGACCGTCCTTTACAAATCTTTGCCTTTTTGTACAAAAGCATTTGACAAAAATTCCAGCAAGAACCTTTTGTAAAGGAAACAATTTTCAACATGTAGAAATAGTATTTACCTGATTTTCAAACTCTTGCAATTGCCATGA